AGTGCTGTTAATAAGCAGAAACTACTTCAAGGTGTTTGTGTACAAATGTGTTTAAGATGTGTTAGGTTAAGAAAAGCAAGCTGGGGCTATATGGATAGTATAATCTTATTTTGGTGAAATAATATATTTTAATATATGCCAAGGGAAAAATGAAAAGGAGTATTCACCAAACCATCAGCTGTTCTAGTTATTTCTGATGGGTGATATCTGTGATCCTTTCACTTTAATTAAACTTACTCATTTTTTCCAGCAAATTTTTGTTGATCACCTACCGTTTGACAGGCAGTGTGCTACTAGATTCTGGAGTAGTAAACGCCATCCAATGCCACTGATCTCAAGGAGGTTGCGTTTTCTTATTGCAACATCATTATAGAATTCTTTATAACAAACATCGTTATCTTATTGGGGAAAAAAACATGCATTTAAAGGTAAATAGTCTGGTGTAGTGGTACACACCTATAATCCCAGCTACTCCGGAGGTGGAGGTAGGAGGCTCTCCATCTGAGGCTGGCACAGGCAAACACTTCAGACCATATCTGAAAAATAACTAAGTCAAAAGGGACTGTGGGTGTGGCTCAAATGGCAGAGCCCTTGCTTAGCGAATCTGAGGCCCTGAGTTCCAGCCTCAGTATCCCCTCCCTCCAAAAAAATGAATATTCAAGAGGTTATTTCAGTCCAGAGCCCTGATCTCCTGACAAATCCACTGCATCAGTCTCTGGTCTCCCTGGTGCCCTACTCCATCCTTCCAATCTTTGTCTTTCCCTGCAGCTACCTAGCCCCCACCTGTTCTTTCTGCCCCGCTGTGGCTGAGCTGGCCCGTGAAGCTGGGACCCCTTCCCGTGAACTGATGGCAAAAGTTCACAAACCATCTCTTCTGCTCTTATGTGGGGCTGTCTGTGAGCAGAAGCTGAGTTCCTGCCTTTTGACACACAAAGCCAGGCACGTGAGCAGTTATCAGTAGATACTCGAAGGCAATTGTGTTGGCCATGCAGGCGTGCTGCTCAGCTGACCATTCAGAGAACCTGCTTCGGAGCAAGCACAGTGACCGAGCTGCTGTGCCTTCAGAGCCTCTGTGGCGTTCTCTGGCTTCTTCCAGCCAAAGAACAGCATGGGGGATAAGCTGAATGCAGGACACCTCGCCTCCCCCTCTCCTTTCTCAGTGTCAGACCTGCATCATGGTCTGGAAGGCTCCCTTTCCTTCTCCACCTTCCTTCTTTATCCTTCGAAGGCATTTTCCCCAGCAAACAAGTAAACAGCTAGGCATCTGATTCTCAGAGGACCCAAACTGCCACAAGGATCAATGAAAAAAGTGCTGGGAGGGAATCCAAGAAATAAGGAAACTATAGACAGCCTTGCATAAGAGATCTTTGTGAATCGTGCATCCCCGAGTCACAAACTTTAAGGATTTACCTGGGAATGATGACAAAATGCAGGTTAGGTTAGGTGAGCTGGGGTGGGCTGGAGATGTCATACTTCTAACAGGCTACCTGGGGTGCTATTGCTGCTGACCCAGGTACTACACGCCAAGCAGCAGATGCAGGGCATCTTCCATTTGCACCTGTGTGTCTCCACTTGCCCTGGCCCTGTGCATTGGTTGGGAGGCTGACTTCTGGGATGGCACCAGCAGGCTCCCAGCCTCTGCCTTCTGGCTGAGTTTCCAATGAGGAGCACCAGAGGGCAGAGGAGAGTGAGGTCATAGGTGTTTATCCCCCTAGGATCCTCCCGACTGAGCTGCTACAGGTTGGCTGTGCCCCTCTACCCAGTGCCATGGCTCCTAGTAGGTAGCTCTCTGCTCTTTTCTCCCTGGCAGAATTCCCATAACTGCTCCTCCTTTCTACTCCTCCAGGCTTGGGGTGGTAACTGCTCCCAGCATTACTAGCCCTGGAGTCCTGCACCGTCCACGTGGCTCTTAGTAAACCCTGTCTGCTCTTCTGTATATGGTCCTTTTGTAAATATTCCTCAGTTCATCAGCCAAGTGTGCCATCTGTTCCCTGCTAGGACCCTGACTGCCATAAACAATGTTCAATGCAAGGTTTGTCATAACAGCAGAATACTGGAAACAAGCCAATTGTTTATCATTAAAAATAATTAAATAAATTATGGCACATCCCTGAAGGATGTTACATACAATCATTGACTGACTATAGATAGGATGTAGCCAATCTATAGTCACCTACATGGAAAGATGTCTAAGACATTTGCTAAATGAGGGGGGAAAAAACAGAGGAGATTCAAGAAAGTATACCTCGTAGAACCCGTTCATTAAAAAAAAAAGAAAGTAAATACAAACCCATTCATTTCAAAAAGTAACCATGAATTTGCTAAGGCTTGGGTTGCATGAGAATGGCGACCCTGTTCAAAATAAACCTCGCTGAAAAGAATGAGGGTGGGTGGGGATTTTCTGACTTGGTTTTTTTCTCCCAAATTGGCTTCCCTTTGTGGTGTTCTTACTCACAGGCAGGCTGTCCTCCACTGGTGGTAAGAACTAACATCAGTTTGGCTTACAAGATCCTGACATCCTGACAGCTGACAACCTCATCGGAGAGGTTGTCCCAACCTTCCAATGGCTTCAGCAAGATTCCTGGGCAGGCGCCAATCAGGATGAGCTGGACCATGCGCTAACCACTGATCCACAGGGACTGATTGAGGAGGAAGACTCCCCAAGAGAAATGAGGTCCTAGGATGAATATTTGCAGTGGACACTTCTTTCTGGCTGCCAAGCATCTGAACCTTTCTCCTGTATTGATTGGTGAGTCCTCCCATCTTCTAGGGCAGAGCCTGTCTCCCACCACAGATGCTGAAAACACCAGAAACTCGTTTTCTGTCAGGCGTAACCTGGGATTAGGCCAGGCCAATCAGACACTTCCACATCAGACTCTGAATCTGAAGCCAGTGATGCCAAAAAGGACATGAGCAGACTCCATCCCTGTATAGGGTGCAGGTATGGCACAATTTGGGGCATGGTTCCTGCTTGGAGCCTCCAAAACTTAGGCTCTCACAGGATCTGTGAAATCTGAAAGAATCTCATACCAAATCCTCCTGCTGCAATTATCCGGAGGACTGGCTTCTGCTGCCTACAATCCAAAGGCTGGGTTAATGTCGACATCTGGCATTAATATGTATGCTTGCATGTGCATGAAATATTTTTTAAAGATAAATGTGAATATTGGTTACCCATAGGTAATAAGACTGGGAGAGCGGGGGAGGGAGGAACAGGGCTTTTAGTTGGAAATTATCTTTTACTTTTCTAATAAACAACTAGCCAGTAAAAATATGAGAAAAGATACCTGAATACAGAGAATAAGACAAAGGTGCAATTACTTGGGATTGTCAAGGAAACAAATGGCTTCATTAGAAATTTCAGCGGTGTCTCCCTTTCTCCCACCATTGTGGTGAGTGGGGCCCAGTTACTACCTCAGATGCTGAGCTTGAGTGGTTAGCGCTAGCCCTGTAACTCACCTGCTCAAGCACTTGCTACAGCTCCCTACTGCTCACAGAACAATTTTCACACCCTGCTTCCTGGCACTGAAGCCCTTTGCAGTATGAGCCCTGGGTATTTTCCAGACTTTTCCTCACCTTTACGCTTTACCCAGAAGACCTTTTCTTCCAGCCCCAATCTTCAGGGCATTCTTATCTTCTCTGATATACCAAAGCCTTCCTATAGCCTCATCAAGTTTTGCTCTTTACATTAATGAGACTTGGCTAACAGTTGCATATTGAGCACCTACAGTATGTCTGACCCTTTAACAGTTTGGGACCACTGTGTAGAGTCTGGAAAGCAATTACTGCCTCATATCAGTGTTAATGCTCTCACAATGTGCAGGTGGCAGATGTAAGTTTCTTGGCAGTGCTGCTCTTGACTGACCCTCTTACCCCATCCTTTCCCTCTGCCTGGGTGGCTTAACCCAAACATCTTCCGTGACTTGCTTTCTCACTTCCTTTAGATCTTGTGTTACGTTTTGAGTGACACCCTTGTCCAACTATTTACAATAATACCTCACCGTCTACCCATTCACTTGGATTCATGTTCCATTTGGTATGTCGGCAGTGCTCACCACCATCCAACGTGCCATTACTCGCGGGTGTATCTACAGCCTGCATCCACAGCACAGGAATACAAAGACGTTATCTTGTCCCTCAGGTCTCCCCAGCACGTGGAACTGTGCCTGGCTGCAGGCACTCAGTAAGTACTTGTTGAGGATGGGAAGAGCACTGGACCGAATGTCAGACCGGAGCCCCAGGCACAGCCGCTTGCAGAATAGCTGGGTAGCCTTCAGAAAGACCCAACGTCTTTGGGCTTCAGTTGCCTCTTCGGTCAATGGGAGTCATCCGAGCCCCGGTGGCTCTCAGGCCTGCCCCTCTGGTCCAGCAGTGGTTCTCCACCCTTGGCGTGCATTACAATCAACTGGGAGGCTGGTTAAACTTCAGGCTGCCGGCCCCACACCCGGAGATCAGACCTAGTAGGTCTGGGGAGCGACCAGAAAAGTCTGTATTTGTAACCAAGGACCGCCGATGAAGACACAAAAGGCACGAGAGGCATTTATGGCCCTGCCTAGATGGGGGATGCCTACGTCGGGGAACAGAGCGGACCGATTCGTTTCCTAAGTCAGTTAACAACTAGGGAACGCCTGTGAAGTGATGGGCAGCGAGTGGAGAGTCCGGCGGGTGAAGCGATGGACTCAGATCCCGGCCGGATCTAGTGACTCGGGGAGCGCGCGCGCGAGGGGTCGAGCCTGCTCTCGGAACCCAGCACCGGGCAGGAAGGCTTCAGGGCCGCGGTACAGCGCCACAAGCGGGCGCCATAGAGTCACATCACAGGCCGACCCGCGGGCCAGGGAGGCGGACGTGGCCCTAAGCTGCCCGGAACCCGCGATCCCCCCGCCCTCGCACGCGGGCGGTGGAGACGCGGCGGCGCGCCCGGCACACAGTAAGGCGCGGCGTGGCGCGCGCGGGCGCGGGCGGAAGGGGGCGCGGGCGCGAGATCCGGGGGTGGAGCCGGAGCGGCGGGCAGGGCCGGCGGGCGCGGGCCGCGGCGGCGATGGGCGAGGGCGGGCTGCCCCGGCCTTCCAGCTGCTGCTGCGCGCCTGCGACCAGGGCGACACGGACACCGCGCGGCGGCTGCTGGAGCCGGGGGCTGCGGAGACGGCCGGGGGCGGCGCGGAGTCCGAGGCAGGGGCGGAGCCGGCTGGGCCCGAGGCGGCCGGGCCCGGGGCGGCGGCGGCCGGGGCGCCGGTGCCCGTGGACTGCTCGGACGAGGCGGGCAACACGGCGCTGCAGTTCGCAGCGGCCGGGGGCCACGAGCCGCTCGTGCGCTTCCTGCTGCGCCGCGGCGCCTCGGTCAACAGCCGCAACCACTACGGCTGGAGTGCGCTCATGCAGGCGGCCAGGTGAGCGGGGCCGGGGACGGAAGCCCAGGGCCCCTGCGAACGGGACGGTGACTCTGAGCAGATTTGCCAAACTTGATTCAAGTGCACGGCTTCTTGATGAACATGAAATCGGAGTCTTAGACGCTCGCGCAGAGCCTGCAGACCCGGACTCCTAGAGGCGCTCATTCATTCCTTCCTGCGACAGGGTTTCCTACCTGCCTACCCACCCGTGGCATTGGGGCCCCTGTAAAGTCCTCGATCTAAAGCAGCTCGCAAGCTAGTGGACGGGATAAGCAAAGGAACAGGGCTGGCTGCGAAAATGTGGGTAGCTATGGGGGAGCTGACCCGGTTTGGGTCAGCGATGGAAGGGTTTTGGTAAAAGGATATGTGTATATATCCACGTGGATACCTGAGGATGTGTGATAATTAACCAGGACTGAAAAAATGGGAGGAGGCCCACAAAATGGGAAGGCCAGGCAAAGACGTAGTAGATAGCAAGTGGTAGGACAGCTGGAAGGATGTTCTGGCTGGGAAGGGGCTGAAGGTAAAAAGAAAGAAGATGGACAGGCTGAGAAAGCCCCAGTAACCTATGGGCACTGGGGAATCTTGGAAGGCTGTAGACAGTGAATGACAGGATGAGATTTACCGAGTGGAGAGGTCACTTTCACTGCAGTGTGAAAATGAATTGGAGGGGAAGGCTAGAGTCAAAGACTGGTTAGACAACTGCAGCAGCCCAGGTCACAGGTTAAAAGTGGACTGTGCAGAATGGGAGGCAGTAGAGGGAGAGGGTGGAAAGATTGAGATACACTCAGAAAACAGATCTTGGTGACTGGTTGACCCTGGGGAATGGAAGGGACAGCAAAGACCTCAGTTGGTAGTAACAAATGCACAGAACTAGAGAACATGGGACAAGGGACAGTTTTGAGAGTGATCCTGGCCACGAAGCCCACATCAAGTAGGGGTCTTTATGGAGGAACCCCAAGAAACAGGGTCCAGTGGTGCCTGGAGGACAGAGGAAGGTCTGAGCCTGGGGATACAAATATGGAGGTTAGCCTCATATTGGTGACCACGGGAATGCTGGGGCAGGAGGGCTTATCCAAGGTGAATGTGACGTGAGAAAGATGCCTAGCAATGGTAGCTGAATATATTGGCCATTCCTGTGGGACAGTCACCATAAACCTGGTGGCTTTATTAAAATAGCAACCTTTTATTTAGCACACATATTTGCATTCTGGTCTTTGCACAGGTCTCACACACTGTGTTCACACCATCTTCACATCTGTGTAGGTAAGCCAGGTGGCCCTGCTTCTGAGGGTTGTGGCCCCAGGGTGAGTGGACTGTCAGGCTAGCCTAGGCTTGGTCACAGGATAGCAGCAGGGTCCTTAAGATTGGAAGCATACAATAACTGCTGCCACATTGGGCACTATTGTCACCATTTCACTGAAGAAAAAAATGGAGTCAGAGAGGGCCTGTAGGCTGACTGGTGCCACACAGCTATCAAGTTGATTAGCCAGAATTTCAGCTTGGGTAGTCCAAGTTCAAGACTTGCCTGTTCTTAACCGTCTTACGGGGTAGAACACAGAGAAACACTAGTATTTAAGGGTCAGGGATAGCTGGAGTGGCTGAAGATTCAGGAAGGGTACTGGTCACTGGGGAGGGTGAGAGAAGACAAGAGAGCAGTGAATAGTGAGGCCTTGGTGGGAATGAGCAGGAGTTGGACACACAGACAAAAAGTGCAGATGGTCCTTTCCCTGTGCTGGCCGTAGGGTCAAGGAGGATGCTTGAACAGGCCAGAGGTTTTTAAGATGGAGGAGACTTGAGCAATCTTACTTCCCAGTGATCTGGATCACAGAGGGATAATTGGTTTCAGTTGTGGGGGGGGGTTGTTAGGTTGAGTTAACATTGTTCTTTGTAGAAAAATATGTTCTCAATTCCAGCCTTTTTTAAATGGATCATTTAATTTTTGCATAGATAATATGTTGACACATTTCAAATATAAACCATACACATGTGCAGTGAAGTGGCTCTTCCCTGTCCACCATCTCCCTAGCTCCACTCACCCCTTGGTGTTGTGGAAGAGTTCAGCCTTCTAAAGTTTCTCTATGTCTGATTTCTCTACCTTGGTATTATTGACATCCTTGATGTAGGATGTTCAACAGCATCTTTGGTCTCCAGTGGACACCATCCTTGGACACCATTGACCTTCCCTGCCCCCCAGTCATGGTAATTAAAATGATCTCTAGATGGTGCCGCTGGGAACGCAGCTCAGTTGTGACGTGTGGCTGCTGTTCACCTGGGTGTACTCTGGACGGTGTCTTATGTACCCGTCCAGAAGGTGGGCATCCTTTGTCCAAAAATGCAGTTTCTTTCCCAGAGCAGCTGAGGTGAACTAAAAGCCTTTTGGGCAATTGACCTTTCTTCTAGGTTTCCTGTCTCTTGCAGTGGCTCCACCCACTTTCCCAGGTAGTAAACTGTCCCCCAAAGCCTCCACCCGGCACCCATCTTTCTGTGGCAGCCCTTGAATTGCTCTTCTTGTCCCTCTGCCTTCGTGCAACAGACTTTGGAGGGGCTGCAGCTCACTCCCTCCTTCAGAGTCCTCTTCAATTATCCTCTTAGCGCTTTCACATGCTCCTGAGATGAGTGTTAGGTCATTTCTGCCTCTCCTGCCATGGCTCCCAGCCAGAGCCCTCAGCATGGCATGTCAGACTCTCATATTCAGATGCTGACCCCCAACCCCCATCCTAAATTCAGGCCTAGATGATTTCAGCCAGGCCTTCTGTGAGCCACTCTGCATTTTTAAAACATGGAACACTGAGCATTTACCATATGGCAAGAACATTGTCCCCACTTTACAGATGAGAAACTAACTAAAATAAAATTTTTGTTGTTTTTTGAGATGAGGTCTCACCATGTAATCCAGGTGACTTGGACCTCAAGATCTTCCTGCCTCAGTGTTCCAAGTGCTGGGATCACAAGTGTGGACCACCACATCTGGCCGAGAATCTGAGATTTAGATTATAAAATATGCCCACCAGCAGACAGCTAGTCAGAGCCGGCTTGGGGATGGGGCACTGCAGAGGCCTTTCTGTAACTACATACAAGAAGTCCCTTCTTCCCTTTCTGACCTCAGTGAGCCCCCCCTTCCTCCTCACTCTCCTCCCAGCTTCTTCCAAAAAGCCCGCCATGCTGTGCCCCTGTTCTCTGGTCTCAGAACTGAAGGCCTCTGTTACAGTGTCAGCCACACTCCCTTACAGCCCATTTGCTTCCTTGGTGGTACCCATATCTGTCCACACATGAGATCACCAGGATGCTTTTCCAGGTAGAGATTCTGGGTTCCCTTCCTGGAGATTGTGATTTAGGAGGCTCAGAGTCTGGGGAGAACTCCATGTGAGAAGAGGCTTCCCAGCAACTCTCTGGCACTGGAATGTACCTTTCCCTGAGCCTCCCAGGACACTCGCCCAGTGTGGTTTCTCTCCAGCGCTTAGACCCCTGCTCACCAAGTTTTTCTGTCACCAGGTTCTGGAGGATGGTCCACATTTCTACGAATGTCTACTTAATGTCTCTTAATCTTGGTGGGGCACGAGGCTCAGAATTAACCTAAGCTCTGATGGTTAATAGTGAAATAACTATTTTACACTTTTAAAGGGCTGTCTTCCATAAAATTTGGTGTTGTCCTCCCTATCACTCCCAAACAAGAGCCTTTGCTCTGCCTCCATCCCTCCTCCCTCCTCACACCTGTGGTGTCACAGGTGCTGGTTCAGGAGCACTAGTGTTGACATACTCCCTTGTCTGATCCAGTGCAGCTGGGGTAGTGGCCTCATCCCAGGAGAGGATTAGAACTCACTCTCACCTGTTCACTGAGACCAAAAAGGGCCAGGCCACTTTAAAGTCTGTTGTCTGTCAGTGAGATTCCAGCTGCATCTGGCTGGGTGCCACCTTGCCCAGGTCGAGGTGTGCTCCAGCTGTCTGCTGCCTCGTCCCCGTGAGAGCACTGTGGAGGGCTGGTATGCAGGGAGACTTCCCGAAGGGTATGGCAGGGTGGCCCGTGGGTGGCCACTCTCCCATCTTGTGCTCTTCTTCCCTGGTCCCCACGTGCCTCAGAATCCTCAAGAGAAACTGAGCAGCGGACACTTAGAGCCTAAGCTCTCGGGGCTCCAAAGCACGTCACTGGTCAGGCCAGGCCGCCAGAAGCCTTGTGCCTAGACTTTAAGGCCTTTAATTCCTGTAGAGGTTTCCGGTTACATTGATGGGTTTTCCTATCCATAAAATAATAGGTAGCCTTACTGAGCACCTACTTCATGTCAAGCACTGTGCTTGGGGCTTTAAACATATTAGTCTACCCTAAACCTTAGGAAGTAGGGCCTACTGATATCCTTTTACAGATGAGGACTTGAAGCACAGAGAAGTTAAGTTACTTGCCCAAGGCCACACAGCTAGTAGTGGCAAGGTCAGATTCACACTCAGGCAGGTGGTCCCAGAGCTGGTGCTCCCAGCCATGAACTGGCAACTGAGAACTTCCCTGTTAGTGTTGGTGGCAAGGAAGTGACTTGTTCCCATTTGCCAGTGACTTCCAGCCAGGGGATGGAGTGGCACAGTGTTTACTCTGGCTCTGACCTCACCTTTGGCCTCCATCTCCCTGTCATTCCCCCACCTGCCCAGGTGGCAAAGTTGGACACTCAGCCCAGTACTGAGAGTACTGGGAACATGTGCCAGCTCTTCAAACACAGGTGTTAATTCTGAAATTAATTAGTAATCACAGCACCTGCTCAGAAAGCTCCAAGCATCCCTGGCTCCACTAATCACCTATTAGAAACTTAGCATCCTCAAGATCACACCCGTCTCCCTTGAATCCTTTGATATTTTCAGCCTCTTTGAATACTCTCTGGGGCTACCTGAGAATTCAGGAAACATTCTAAATTTCAGAATTTCTGCTTGCATTCAGCCGTTCCTCTGTAAAAACAGTAGACTGGAGGAGCTAAGATTTAGAGTGCTGGGGTCTAGGTTTGACTGTCACTGTCAAATTGAGATGAATCACTTTCCACTTTAATGTTTAGCTCCTTATCTGTGATATGGAAGGATTTGCTACAGCTTTGGGGGATGGGAAGGAGCCCAAAGGCATCTTTTCCAGAGTGGTGCAGTACCACTGAGGGAGGCAGAACTGTGGACGGGAAGAGACTTGCCCTAAGGAGCAAACTGATAACCTAGTCAACAGTGTGTAAGTGTGATTTGTGTTTATTTAAATTTCAGTAACAGGCCTGAAAGTAAAGGCCCTGCCTTACTGTGGGATGGAGCCACCAGACTTTTAGATATAGATTGTGCAAATAAGGCTTTTGCAGTGTTCAAAAAAAAAAAATTCAATGAGATAAGCATCTGAAAGCACCTTGTAATCTTCTGTTGGGAATTACTCTAGATCTTATCTTGTGCTGATAATAAGCAGTGTAATCTTTTTGGTTTTTTTTTGCTGCACTAGGGTTTGAACTTAGGCTTGCTAGACAGACGTTCTACTGCTTAAGCCATGCTGTCAACCCTAGTGCAATCTTAAGATCTCTGCTCCAACAGAGGACACAGTGGTCCTCCTTACTTCCACTGCCTGGACTCTGTCCTCCATGCTCATCTCAACTATGCATTCATTAACTTATTCCTTTGAGCTCCAATATGGCTGGGAAACAAGAATGTGTGAACCCGTCCTGTCCTTGGGCAGACTCAGTCAACCGGGGGACACGCTATTCTCGAAGGAGGGCTCAGGCACAGACAGAATTGTGGTACTCAGAAGAGGGGTACCTGGGCTGACCTGCTGGGGGTCTGTCTGGAAGCTGCGCAGAGGAGGAGGTGAGCTCTGAGCTGGACTGAGTGTGTGCTCAGTGGGCACAGGTGGGGGACACTCTAGTTGGATGGCACAGGGGTGGGTAGGAGACAGGGCTGAGGAGTGCACGTGAGGAGGGTGGGAGTGGGTGGCATGGGAGCTAGGAAGAAATGAGGCAGCCATCTTTGGACACTGGGCAGCTGGAGAGTGACCCTTAGACTTAGGTCTGGGGGCTGCATATGGAGGATGGGCAGGTGGGAACAGGTCTTGGGGCAGCTTTCTCCTGAGTGTATTTTAGCCTGACTTGACCTCTTTGCTCTGAGAGAAGAAGCCCAACCTCCCCCTAGCCGCTGCTGGGGGAGCCAGTTCACCAGGCTCTCACTGGCTCCCTGGAAGGCTGAGGTGACCTGGTGCTGACAAGGTTCATGTCCCTGAAGGTATTTGTAACTTAAGCCTCAGACCGGAGTTCAGCCCTGGCCCTGCCTCCACTGAGAGGAGGGAGGCCAGGTTTAGATGAGGCACGAAGAATCCCACGTCTGGGAAGGAGGGCTGAGCAACAAGCAGTTCAGACTGCCACCTCCCACATGCAGCTGTGACCACAGAGTTGGGTCCTGAACCTTGCACTGTCGGCCCCTGTTTTAGTCACTGTGCTCTGACACACTCTGGTGAGTCCACCAGAACACCTCAAATCAACTTTTCTGCCCGCAGGTTTTGAGCGAAGTTAGAGATTTTGCTGGGAAGAGGCGTCTGGCTTCCTCTGCTTGGTTTAGGGAGTCGGCGAGCTCACATCTGCCTTCCCAGAACCCCAGCTCCACCTAGCAGGAGCGTCACCGGAGGTCTAGCACAGGTCATGTTCACATTCCTGCCAGCATGTGGCAGCAGGCCTCGAGGAGGGGCTTGAGCCCCTTTGCCAGCACTGCCCACCACACCTCTTGGCATGTGGTGGGTGTGTTGGGAGCTGGGGAGGGCAGAAATGAATCACATGTGGCCGTGCCTGTGGGGAAATCAGAGCTCAGGCAGAGAGACAAATTACCCAGCCATAAAGCAGAATAAAATGAACTCTGAGATGGGGGCAGCGTGGTGGGGGAAAAAGTGACAGCAACCAGACCCACACAGACCTGGATTCTAACCCTAATACCAGCCCTAAGCAGCTGGGTGCCCTTGGCACATTTGGGAATATATAATGCTTCACAATTACCCTAGCTAATGTCCACATCCAGCTACTTTTATATACAGTCATTACAACACCCTCGATGTGCATACAATTTATAGCCCCACTACAGATGAGGAAGTGAAGATGTGAGAAAGCTGAAACTCTATGACAAGGTTAAGCAGCTAGTGGGTGGGAGAGCTGGACTCACCCCAAGGTAGGGCATTCGCCGTCCCATGACGGTGTGTCTACAGTGCCTGTGTGGTGCCTGACACCAGGCTGAGGGCTTTTATTTTGGGCATTTATGATATGTTGGTGGTTGATGAGAAATGAGGATTGAGTGGGCTGTTTGCTATTCAGTGCTCTGTATTTACTGTCACTAATTCTCCATCTTCCTGGCAGATACGGGCATGTGAGTGTGGCACACCTCCTTTTGGATCACGGGGCCAATGTTAATGCCCAGAACCGGCTGGGGGCCAGTGTGCTCACGGTGGCTTCCCGGGGGGGCCACCTGGGTGTGGTGAAGCTGTTGCTTGAAGCCGGTGCCATCGTGGACCATCACAACCCCTCAAGCGAGCAGCCGGGGATGGGCAGCAGCAGGGACGAGCCACTGGACATCACAGCCCTGATGGCCGCTATCCAGCATGGGCATGAGGCCGTGGTGCGTCTGCTGATGGAGTGGGGCGCAGACCCCAACCACGTGGCTCGGACTGTGGGCTGGAGCCCGCTGATGTTGGCAGCCCTCATTGGGAGGCTCAGCGTGGCCCAGCAGCTGGTGGAAAAGGGAGCCAACCCTGACCACCTCAGTGTGCTGGAGAAGACGGCCTTTGAGGTTGCCCTTGACCGCAAGCACAGGGACCTTGCAGACTTCCTGGACCCACTGACCACCGTCAGACCCAAAACAGGTCAGGCTTCACCGCCACTGCCCTTCTATGGCTTCACAGACCCCAAGATTGCCCAACCTGAAGGGCACACAGAAGTCATTCGAGTCCTGCTCTGCTGGCCTGTGGGCCTTGAGCTGTGGGGTGCTCATGAGTTGCACGAGAGTACCTGTTCTGTGTAGAGAGCCTGACTTGGTAGCCATGGGAAATAGCCCCTTCTCCCTCACCAGATGGCAGCAATGCAGGTGGTCCTGGGATCTTTCTAGAGCAGAGGTCAACAAACTTTTTCTAAAGAGTGCTAGATAATAGCTTTTGTGGGCCCATAGTCTCTATTGCAACTCCTCAAATCTATCAGGATGAAAGCAGCTGGTCTAATATGTAAATGAGTGGGTGTGGCTATGTGCCAATAAACTAGTAAGTACAGAGATAGGCAGTGGGCGGAGTTTGGTCCACAGGCTGTAGTTTGCCTATCCCTGATCTGGAGCAATGTTCCTAACCTCATCTGCCAGCAGTCAGTCTCCAATAGTGAATTTACATGCAGTTAGGGAAAATTCATTCCTTTTGAGTTTTGACAGCTTGCTTTTTACACTGTTTTTTTTTTCTTTTATTATTCATATGTGCATACAAGGCTTTCCCCCTGCCCCTACCCCCTCCCTTACCACCCACTCCGCCCCCTCCCTCTCCCCTCAATACCCAACAGAAACTGTTTTGCCCTTATCTCTAATTTTGTTGAAGAGAGAGTATAAGCAATAATAGGAAGGAACAAGGGTTTTTGCTGGTTGAGATAAGGATAGCTATACAGGGAGTTGACTCACATTAATTTCCTGTGCGTGTGTGTTACCTTCTAGGTTAATTCTTTTTGATCTAACCTTTTCTCTAGTTCCTGGTCCCCTTTTCCTATTGGCCTCAGTTGCTTTTAAGGTATCTGCTTTAGTTTCTCTGCGTTAAGGGCAACAAATGCTAGCTAATTTTTTAAGTGTCTTACCTATCCTCACCCCTCCCTTGTGTGCTCTCGCTTTTATCATGTGCTCAAAGTCCAATCCCCTTGTTGTGTTTGCCCTTGATCTAATGTCCACATATGAGGGAGAACATACGATTTTTGGTCTTTTGGGCCAGGCTAACCTCACTCAGAATGATGTTCTCCAATTCCATCCATTTACCAGGGAATGATAACATTTCGTTCTTCTTCATGGCTGCATAAAATTCCATTGTTTACACTGTTGTTACTTGCATTGCAGGGCCTTACGCATACGAGGCTGGCACTCTGCCACTAGGCCATGTCCTTAGGCCTGAGTTATAGTGTTTTTCAAGCACTTGTTAGTATGTGAAGTTTTCGTTTTTCTTTTTGCCATCTTTCTGGCTTAAAGGGTTATTTAAGTAATCCTGAGCAAATCTGCTACAGGACATTCTGCATTTCAAAACTGGTTCTTCGTGTGCAGTGGGAACCTTGAAGTAGTGTCACACACAGCCTGGGTCCACAGCAGCACAGGCCACAGGGCTGACCTGTTGACAAGACCCAGTTTGAGTCTAGTCTCCCACTCTAGCGGTGTGGACTGGGACATGGCGACTGTCCCTTTAGGACTTCGGTGTCTTCTTCGAGGAAGCAGTTGTAATAAATGTGCTTTTCGGCTGTGAGGTTTGCAAGTAGGCATGGGGTTATGCTTGGCATGCAGACAGCACCCAACGAGTGAACGCTATTGAGACGTTTTTATTGATCACACTTCTTTCAGGTATTTACAGATATTTATTACGTGTCCACTGTGTACCACACGCCATTCAGTGAGCAAGTGAGACCTGAATCCCTGCCTGGGGACCTTGACCTCTACAGGGGGAGACAGGCAAGGGTTAGGAAATAGACATATTAAATAAACTATATAGTGTGGTAGAGGATGCCATGAGGTTAAAAAAAATGAGACTAGGCATGGTGGTGTATGTCTGTAATCCCAGCTACTGAGACAGGAGGATCACAAGTTCGAGGCCAGCATAGGCAAAGTTGACTCAAGCCCCCATCTGAAAAACAAACTAAAAGCAAAAGGGCTGGGGCAGTGGCTCAAGTGGTAGAGCACTTGTCTGGTATGCATGAGGTCCTGGTTCAATCCCTGTGCCCGAAAAATAAAACAAAATAAAAAACAATGAGGACAAGATAAAGAGATGAGTGTGGCAGAGCTGGGATGACACAGGCTCCTGGAGAAGGTGATTTCAGTGGATTGGAGTGCACCATCTGGGCTCTTGAAGAGGAGCCCTAGGGAGGGAAACAGCAAGGGCAAAGGCTGTGCTATTAACAATAACATAGAGTTCTAGATACTAATCATACTCCCTACCTCTTCCCATGAGATGCCAGGCAATCCACCCCCATTGTGACTGTGTTGCTCCCCAGTCTCTCCCTCCCATAGTGGCAGGATAGGGCACCCTTGAAGCCATCGCTGTCATTGTGACATCCCACTCCAAAGCATCCCCCTGGAGCTGCTCTGACACAAACACACCGAAGCCCAGGGTGAGGAGGGGACCAGCCCAGGGTCATAGGACGTTGGGGCACAGACTGTCACTGATTAATTCATACCACGTGGCTGCTTTGCAGCCAGCACTAAGGCCAGTGACACACTCTTCTATAAAGGGTCCTGGCAGGGGAAGGCCCAGGCCCAGAGCATTTGGGTGGTAAATAGCTGAGATGCAGCATCATGTCTTGATAGGCTCTCACAGGCAGTATTAGACGTGTCTATGGTCATAGTGGTACTCCGCATTGAGAATTCTAGCGTTAAGTAGGTGACCTGACTGGGACGGTTCCCGTGACAGGGAACAGTTCTCTTCAGTAGGGCTTCATTTTCCACCTATGTTAATCACCTGATCCCTACAGCAACTGAGTGGTGTGAATGTTGTTCCCAGTTAGTGATGAGCGACCAGCGGGTTCTAGAAAAGTGTGCTCAAACTCAGGCTGACACTAGACTTGCCATTCCTCCCAGCTGCTGGACTACCTACCCTAGTGAGTCCAGAGCCACAGGTGTCCCCTCCCAGCTGCTGTGTCCCAGGATGCTGTATGTGGTCCCCAGAATACAGGCTGGCCATGAGGATGGCTGCCTTCTAACAGAAGCGGGAACTCACCGGCCCAGGCTGAGAGGGAGGTGTGGTGTGAGGGAGGAGCTCACATTGGGTATAGGGGTTAGGAGTCAGGATTCCCGTACCAGCCAAGGAGCCAGGTCCACTGTGAAAACACCCGGGGAGGGGGTGCTCACTGCCAGGCAGCTGTGTCTGGACCAGGGCAGGGAGTCACATTCTGATTGCTTAGTACTTTGGAAGGAAGGCAGGAGTTGACATTGGCTGTTCTGGTGGCTGAGTCTGTGACCTCCCATTGAGCCCAGCTGCTTGGTGACTCAGGCTCCTCTGCCTTGGAATTATCTCATGGTTACACATTTAGTTTTCAGAAGAAAGCAATCATTGTTGCTTTGTCAAATTCTTTCAGAAATCTAGGTTTTTAGATGGAGCTTTTCAATATATCTAAGAAAGGACACCCCAAGTTGAAACACTTAGAAACAGTTGCTTCATTAGTATTGGATGGGGCAATGGCCTGTCCCTGGACGTTTTCAGAACTGAGCGGTCAGACCTTTCCAGGAAGCTATTGGAATCCATGCTGTGTGGGTTTCCGGCAAGATTCATTCTGAGAAGTAGATTCTTTCCAAAGCTAGGCCATTTCATGGTACCCTGTGACTTTGCTGTTTTATCAAATCTTTCCATCATTAACTTTAGAAACCTTTGTTTACCTAGATGAGGAGAAAAGACGACCTGATATTTTCCATGCATTGAAAATGGGTAAGTGCTTTGAAAGATCTTTTGAGATGTTTTAAGAACACAGGCCCACGTTCTCCCAACCTATACTTCCAAGGGCAGGCAGAGTATTTGACTGAGATACAGGCAGTTTGTTGTTTCCCAGGTGTCTAAGTTCAAGACCCTTACTTATTACTGTGTACTGCCCATAGATTCTGACTGCTCTCCCAGGCTCCCACCATTCTGCCAACCAGACACTGAGGCTGTGCCCTGGCTTCTCCCTGCCTCTGAAATGCCTCTTTGCATACCTGCTCACTCCAATCTCTTTATGGCACAGGACTATTTAGCCCAGGATTTCCTCTCTTGATATAGTCTTTTCCTCTAGGAAGCCCTCCTTGACCCCTACCCCCAGTAAGACCTAAACTCCTGCATGCCCTTCATCTCTCTTCTTCATCTGCTTTCTTAAGACACTAACTGCACTTCTGTCCATTATTGTGCTGTCTCCATCCTTGTGGATGGAAGGATTTGAGTGGGGCTCTCTCTGACCCTTCTCAGTGGCCCAGTGATGCCCAGCACCCCACTGCTGACAGAATCAGCCAGTGTTTGTTCCAGGGGCCAATTGGATAAATGAGCCTGTGGTGCCAGCACTGTGGGTCACCAGACTCCTGCCATGTTTGCAGGAAACTTCCAGCTAGTCAAGGAGATTGCCGACGAAGACCCCAACCACGTGAACCTGGTCAATGGGGATGGGGCGACCCCGCTGATGCTGGCAGCCGTCACAGGGCAGCTGCCCCTGGTGCAGCTGCTGGTGGAGAGGCACGCCGACATCGACAAGCAGGACAGCGTGCATGGCTGGACAGCCCTCATGCAGGCCACCTACCATGGGTCAGTGTCCCTTCATTCTGACCACAAGGGGGCAAGCAGGTGCCCTGCCTGGGATGGTACTTTCTGACAGGGTTTTCTGGTCCTGAGGTGCTGCATTTAACTCCAGGGTTCTGAAGACATTGAGGCCTGCAGAGAAGATGAAGCAGCCCAGGCTCATGTCAGCCTGTGTCCCACCTCTACCTCTGTGTCCCACCTCTACCTCTGTGTCCAGGCTTCCCAGTGGCCATGAAAAACCATGCAGCGGGAGTATTTTAGAAAAAAACATGTTTCCCTTGGTTGGTTTCAGATGCATAGTATGCTTTGTCCGTTTGGAGTTTTCACAGTAAGGTAGAGACCTTGTTATGTGGCCTCTCTGGGAAGTGAACAGCCGTCACTCATATGGGCTTCTCGTGACACTACATGGCAAGAGTTATCCTGACCTTCTCTTAAATGAGCGTCAGCATGTGCTGGGGCTGTGAGTCCCTACTCACTGGTTCTCCCAGCCAGGTGGCTGTCACTGATGTGGAGGGTCCCCGTTTGGAGGGCATCTCATAACTGCTGAACGGCCTGACTCCTGTTAGGAGTGCTCCCCTTGCCCTGTTCAAGTGATCTGGTCACACCCTGCATCATCAAGAAGTACTTGTCCTGTTTGAAGTCTCAGACTTCCCTGTCAGACCGTGCCCTGCGTGAGGCAGTCACAGTGGGGAGAGGACTGGGGACAGCAGTGAAGTCTGCCGAGGGTCAGTAGCCAAGTGTTATTAAGCAGAGCCCTTGGTTTTCATTTTGGTCAAGGAAGGGATGTTTAGACTGATTTAAACCACATTTGCATTGACCTGTTGAGAGGTAGGAATGAGGTATGAGTGATTGCCCACGCCCTGCCTAAATGCTCAGAGGCTGAGTGCCAGAGTTAATGTTGTCATCCTTGTTGCTCAGTAACAAAGATGTGCTTGTGCTTTTACTGGGAAGATTAGTCAATTTCATGTTACTATAACAAAATGATTGAGGCAATTAACTTATAAAGCAAAAGGTTCACTTTGACTCATGGTTTTGGAGGTTCTAGTCCAAGATTGACAGCTCCTTTGGTGAGGGCACCAGATAACCAGTAGGGGAGTAAGTATCTGAGACAGGAAGAGAGAGACAGAGAGGCTGGACCCTACTGTACCTTTGAGGGCCTACCCCCGGTGTCCAGTGGACCTTCAGAAGGCCCCATCTCCTAAGAATTCATAGCACCTCCCAGTAGCACTACCTGGTGGCCAAGCCTTTCACACAAGAACTTCAGGAGGACACTTAGTACCGAAAATATAGTAGGGAATGTAACTGGCTTCTTGTTCCCTCCCCAGGAATAAGGAAGTTGTCAAATACTTACTGAACCAAGGGGCTGACGTCACTCTTCGTGCCAAAAACGGGTACACAGCCTTTGACCTGGTGATGCTGCTGAATGATCCTGGTGGGTTGTAGATCTGCATGTCCCTTCTCAGCTGGGAGCCAGGATGGTGCCTCCCCAGGGAGCTGTGTTGGAAGCCCTTGCTTATTCATGGGGAAGCCAGTCTGCAAGGTCACCTCATGACCTTGAGCCAGGCACTCCTCTCCAGTATAGTGGGCAGATGGGATGGGGCCAGGCCATGGCAAGCCTCCCCAGCAACAGGGTTCCAGGAGTTTCCAAGGAGGGAGGGAGAGCAAGGACACTGGCTCTGCAGCTCCCTCAGGTCCTAGAGCTATGTCTGGGCTTTGCAGCAGGGGCGCCAAGTGACTCAGGAGCAACTTTAAGGTCCTTTGACAAGCAGAAGCCGAGCTGAGGTAGTGGCCTCTGGCTCACTGGGGGAAGCTGCAGATCAGGGGTACCAGGCTGGGGACTCAGCATTTTAGCCTCCTTTGATCCTTACCTGGCACTTGGTGCTCCTTTCTGGTCCTCTCCTATTGTGACAAGCCGTCTTCTGGGACCTCTTCACTAACCTCTTCAGTTAGTGGCAGGGTCTCTGAAGTGTCATCTCTGTTGTTACCGTGGAGGTTCAGCCCAGACAGAGACGCTCAGATGCCTTTCTGAGCCACCAGGCTTTGAACCCTGGGCCAGGATCCCAGCTGCTAGCTATGGGGACAGAGGTCTTTGACCTCTGCAGTCGAGTGGGGGACTCCTGCTGCCACTCTTAGCTGAGCCCTTTGGCAGGGAAGCCCTTTCCAGTCACCAGCACTGTCACCCATGGCATTCTCTGCTACAGGCCCCATATGTCACAGTCACTCACCCTCAGAGAGGTTTGAGAGACTCAGAGACTCATATCCTCGTGTAGAGACAAGGCAGCAAAGCCTGGGAATGATCTGACCAACCAGAGAGGAAGTCCCCTGCTCCAAGCTATGGTCTCACTCCACCTGCTCAGAGGTCTTCCCTTGCCCAGGAGTTTGTGGTATTCAGAACCCAAGTCCCCAGCTGGTGACTCCAGCCAGTCCACATGCACTTTTACTCTTTCAAAGTGTCTCCTTCTGGTTCTTCTCCCATTTCTCTGCTCCCTTCCCCCATGAAACAGTTGGCCCCGGTGGATAGTATTTTCCTAGTGGGTTTTCAATGAAGTTTTTTGTCCAAAAATTTCCAAGAAACACGTGCCCATTATTAAACACTTGGAGAAAGAAGTAACAGTCATTGAAAGGAAAAGGCATTGTTAATAGTTTGGAGTACTTTCTTCCTTATAAAATGTCTACTGCTTTATTCCAAAGGACATTAAAGGCCAGGTGTCAGTAGCTCATGCCTGTAATCCTAGCTACTCAGGAGGCAGAGATTAGGAGGATTGCAGTTCAAAGCCAGCCCAGCAAATAGTTTGCAAGACCTATCTTGTAAATACCCAACACCAAAAAAGGGCTGGTGGAGTGGCTTAGGGTGTAGGCCCTGAGTTCAAAGCCCAGTACTGCAAAATAACAAACAAACCAAACCAAAGGGCATTAGAAAGGATAGATAGGCAGGTGGAGATGGAGGTGAGACCTGGACAGTCCCTAGCTGTGATCCAGGTGGGGCTGCTCTGCACTCCTCTCATAGCACATGGATACATTCACCAGTCTGGAAGCTTTGAGTATTTTTTTCTTAATCTTGTTCAGTGCTTTTTTTTTTTGAAACATCATAGTTAGCTAATAAGTAAGAGTACTTAACCTCTCTTAAACTTTTACCATCTGACAGTTACTTTTAAGTTCTCAACAAAAATTTCCTTGAATCCTCAAGTCACAGTTTTGTGGTTGGTGTTAATGTCACCTCCATTTAAACCAAGCACAGAGAGACTGTAGTTTACTTACAGTTAAACAGTAGGGTGGGGAAGAGGCAGAATTTGAGCCACTGTAGTCCGGCCACAGAGCCTGTATTTTTCAGCAGGCATCCCCTGCCTTGGTTGTGGGAGAGCTTCAGATTTTTGTTTCTGGTGGAGTAGGTGAAACCTTGGGGCTTGTGTGTACCACCTTGGAAGATCAGATGGAGAGGGAGGAGTTGAACTCAGACCTCTGGGGTTGCATCGAACCTGTCTCTGAAGAGCTGAGTTCTAGGGCTGACAAGGGTCACCTTGAGCCCCTTCCCAGGCCCCAACAAACATATTTGCAGGTAAAATGCTACCTTTTGTGTTCATAGACACGGAACTTGTTCGACTGCTGGCATCTGTCTGCATGCAGGTGAACAAGGACAAAGGCCGGCCCAGCCACCCGCCACCCCTGCCCCACTTGAAGTTCAGACAGCCTTGGAGCATCCCAGTGCTGCCTGATGACAAGGGTGGCCTGAAGGTTTGCCTTTCTCTTCTGAAAGGGATTCAGAAGGCTGGGTGGAATGGGAGACCCTGCCACTTCCTGTTATCTCAGGGCTAGATTAGGTGGGCGGTCCCAATTAGCTGACAGGTGAGCTGGGGGAGCAATAGGAAATGAAGGAAAACTAGGGTCATCATACCATCTAGGACAACTCTGGCTGCTTTGCAGTGTGGGCCATGTTGCCAGATCTTCCTTTTTCTTTTTTCAGGACAACCCAGAAACCCAGATTTTGTTATGGAATCTTAATCTATAAATGGAGGAAGTTAAAATTTCTACATGGCGTAGTCCTGAGCTGGCCACACCACTGTGCTTCTTTGCAGGGTGTCTTTTGGCCTCTGCTTCACTGTGTCAGGTGTTTGTGGATTGTGTCACTCAAGGTCTCCCACAGTCCCCATACTACTTCCAGGGAATGCCACAACCCAGTGGGGAGGATCGTGACTGCAGCCAATGGCCCAGGCCTTGGCACAGCCACCTGACTCCTCTTGATCTATCACTGGATTAGGAAGGAGGTGGTGCCAGGATCCATGTCAGGGTGTTTGCCTTTGTGTCCATCTGTCTGTCTCTGTCTCACTGGAAGACCTCGAGCAGGTCAGATCCCTGGCTGGCCCTGCATTTCTCAGTCTATAGTGAGGAGATCAACTGGATAAGGAACAGAAGAGTCACTTCCACCTCGAGTCTGTTGGGAAGGTTCAGGAAGCATTCAGAGGGCAGCTGAGTCTTCTTGGGAAGGGTGCTGTGGCCAGTTGGTAAGGCCTGCCTGGCACCCTTCCTGGTGCCACCCTCCTTGCTGGCCCTGGAGCTGACCTCTGCTCTGCCTTCCCTTGGCAGTCCTGGTGGAGCCGAATGTCCAATCGATTCCGCAAGCTCAAACTGATGCAGACGCTGCCCCGCGGGCTGTCCAGCAACCAGCCCCTGCCTTTCTCTGATGAGTCTGAGCCAGCGCTGGACTCCACGATGAGAGCAGCCCCCCAGGACAGAACCAGCCGTCCAGGGCCCCTGGATGCAGCCCCCATGACCAAAGATAGCGGTAAATAGTAGCTGGCAGCAAGTGGGGCAGTGTTTCCAACAGTGGCTGAGCCTGTCCTGTGATCCTGTATTCCACCTCCTGGCTCTCCTCAGGTGGGATGATGTTCCCAGAGCAGTGGATGTTCTGGGAGAGGAGATGAAGGCAGGACTCTGTGCTGTGGATCCCTGGGCTCCTGGCTTGTACTTCCTGCTAGGGACCCCAGCCAGGCAGGGCCTCTCACTTGTCTTAGTAGGTGGCTTCCCCATCTGTCCAGAGAGATTGGTTTGTGGCACTGGAAGTATCTTGAAATGGAGTGAGTTTTCCGTGGGCACTGGTGGGGGGGTTCAACCCACTGGGTCGCTTTGCCAGGTTGCTGAAGGAGGCTTCCACAGTGGAAGGAAAACTGATTGCCTAAGGTCTGATTCCCCTCCCTGCACCTTTGGCACCGTTGTCTGAGACAGACTATTGAGTGGGACATTGCACTGTCTGATTCAGCACAGCAGCAGTTTATGGAAAAGCTAAGGCATGCTCTGAGATATCTCTTAAATGCCTTCCATCTATTAAAATATTGAACACCAATTGTTACTAAATATTTAATCAGCCCGGACAGTTGGCTTTCCAGGATGAAGGCTGTGCAGCCGCTCATCTTTAGGCTGGGGTCATAGGGGTGGATCATTCAGGAAGCTTCCTTCCATTTGTCTCTCAGGTCCTGGGAGCCTGAGAGGAGAGAAGGAAGATGCGTTATTGACAACCATGGTGAGTGTGAAAGCATTGGAGGCCTCTGCCAGCCATCAGTTGATGGGCTCATATGGAGGGCATGGGAGTTTGCCTTGCCGTGGCGATCGCAGGTGGGGTGGAAGATCAACTGTGTAACCGCGGTGCAGCATTGGTCCCAAGGAGTCAGAACAGACAGTAGCCCTGAACTGGGTAAGCCGGTGCCGGTGCTTGGTGGCCAATTGAAAGTCCTGGTCATGTTCTCAGGTGGGGACTAGAGGGGTGGCAATTGATAGCAGATGTAACATCTCACTTTGTCGTTGATTATGGAGAACCATAGGGAAGGGTGAGTTTCCAGTCTGGGAGAGTTCTCAGTGTCCTCGTCTATGAACTAGAGATGTGTCAGGATTATTAGTTCCCAAATAACTGGCATAAATGAGACAGCAACTTCTTTTCCTCAAGTAAATAAAGTTCAGGACAGGGAGCAGGTTCCATGGAGTTAGGGACCTAGATTCTACCTGTTGGTTCTCATGATGACGACGTCTATTCTCAGGGTCCCTTCTTGGTCCAAGGTGTTGGCTAGAGTGCTGACCATTACTGTGCGTATTAGTCAGACTTTCCTTTGCCGTGACAAAATACCTCACTAAAACAACTTCAAAGGAAATACTTATCTTGTTTTTATGGTTTCAGAGTCTGATCACTTGGCTCTATGATTCTGGGCCTGTGGTGAGACTGAACAAACATCATGGCAGAGGAAGGGAGGGGAGAGAGAGAGAGAGTGAGAGAGAGTAGTATCTGTTATGTGAATTTAGGTATATTGTTTCACCTCTCTGTGCTGCCAGTTCTGTGGCATAAGAGCCAGCAGAGGGCAGTACTGGCGAGGACAAGGCTGCCAGGAGCTCACCTATAAGGCGTAAACAGCATCAGAAACTAGCGTCCAGCCAGCACCCTGATCCATCTGTTCACGTACTTTGCCAGGCCAAATGGTATATAAATTGGTGGCCTTAACACTGACTGGGAGCTTGTGCAGCCTGACATTTGATCATGTTAATCAGTAGCAATGATTACTTTCAGTATGAAGACAGAAATGCTGGAACAGCAGTTTTGGGAGATGCAGTGAAGTATCACAAAGGAAAATAAAATCAGCTCTGGTCACATTACCCAGACAGAGTCGTGGTTGGCATTTGGTGTATATCTCTTCTGAGCGTTTTTCCCAGGCATTTTTAGCATGTATAAATATGGTATCATGTTATATATAATAATAGCAAATCCCACAGCACTTACTAAATACTAGTCACTGTTCTCAGCACTGTGCATATATTCACTCATTTAATCTCGCAGAGAACTGTGTGAGACTGGTGATATGTCATCCTCCCTGTACTGTACTGTGCTGGACCTGATTTGTTAACACTTTTCCATGACCATTGTTTCCACATCATGAAACACTCTTTATGCCACACCATGTTCAGGCCACCTCGTAGTAACAGGACGTTCTGTCGTGAACAGCTTTATCCAGGGCTGACTTCTCAGAGCTTTCTAGCTCTCCGTTCTTTAACAGCTCTGCTGAATGTCTATTTGTCCCACTTCCTAGTTATTCTTCAGGGTATCTAGAAAGGGAACTCCCCGGCAAAGTGTGTGAAGGTCATTGGCTTCCAGAAAGGTCACAACAGCTTAGACTCACAACACGGGATGAAAATGGTGGATTTGCTGCCCTCGGTGTTCATCCCAGCCTCCCTCTTGCCAGTCGAGGTTGTCCAGTGCAGAAAGGGACAGAAAAGCGGCACAGCCTTCCAGCCCTGCTCTCCTGTCCCACCACTTATGCCCAGGAGAGGGCCCCAGTGTGCTGGCTTTCTGCCCTCTAGTGGGTGGTGGCTGGCCCAGGGCCCTGCAGGCCTTGCGTGGGTGTTTGCAGCCATCGATGCAGTACGATGTGGTGTGGATATGCCACCTGCCCAGCTCCCGAGGCAGGTTGAGCTGTGGGATACCCGTCCTCACAAAGCACCATCTGGCACTGAGGTCCTTGTCTGTTCTTAATTACCGTGAATGCTGTTTCTTGACAATCCACCAGTCATTGCCGTGTGGATTTTCTATTGACATCTCCCCCAATCACATTTTCAAAACATAAGCTGAAGTAAGGTAGCAAACATCAGCCATGAGGCATGGCTGGAGTGGGCTGAGATGTGGGGGGTGGGGAAGGGAGAGTTCAGGCTCCTTGCAGCTCTGCATCCCCGTCCTGCACCCCTAGGCTCCAACCTCCCACATCCCCTCCATCTGCCAAGCTCTTTCCCAGTCTCACTGCATTGTCCTTCAGGCTCAGTTCCCTCTTGCTGCAGAGGGGTGACCTGCCCTGTGCTCTACCACCCCCGTACCTGGATTTCTTGTCTCTCCTAGGCTTTCTGTGCCCTCTGATCTTGTCACAGCACAGGTGTGGGTGTTGCAGGTTTGCTGTATGAGAGCTGAGAATACCGCTTGGGCTCCTGGCTTGGGTAGAGGGGTAGATGGCAGCACCAGTCCCCAGGAAACAGGGAAAACCTGGAGTCCTGTCCCCAGAGTGGGAGCACTCCTAGGCACACCTAACCCTGGTCTGTCTTTTTCAGCTGCGGAACGGAGCCCCTTTCCCCAGGCTCCCGAGCGACAAGCTGAAGGCGGTCATCCCCCCCTTCCTGCCCCCATCCAGCTTTGAGGTGTGGAGTTCTGATCGGTCCAGGACATGTCACAATGTAAAGGCAGACCCCACCAAGACAGTGCTGCCCCAGAGAGCCAGCAGGGTCCACCCCATGGGTGGCGGGAGCACAGACACTGTAAGTCTCCAGCCCAGCTGATGGGCTTTGACGCATAATTCATGTAGATGGCATGCATGGTGGGTTGGGGGACCTCAGAGCCACCAACCCCAGGGTCAGAGCTGTTTTCTTCTTTGAAGTCAGCAATATCCTTTTGTCTACGTAAATCCCACTGAGGAACACTGTGTAGAAGAGATGAAAGTGATGCTGTTGGGGGGAGCATCTGTCCCCTCTCTGGAACCCTGGAGCTCCAGACCTAATCCATTGCATCCAACCTTCCCTTCAGCAGCTGAGGAGCCTGGGACCCAGCCAGGGGGAATGACTTGCTGGTGGCAACGACCAGCCAGGCAGCAGTGGGCCTAGGACCAGAAATCAGGTTCTTGGCTTCTAGTCAAATCCCAGCAACACTATTGCTCAAGTCCACGACCAAGAGCACACACTAGGAGGCACATGTGTGTACTACTGGTGTTGTCTTGAGGGAGCAAGACTCCTGTTCTTTTGACCATGATGGTGTCTACCTTTGAGTCCTTGGTCTGTTTCTGTGTCAGCCTGAGGTTGTCCCTGTTGAGTGGGAGGTGGTTTTTGGGGTATAGACTATCTTCACTACAGGCACAAGGAGTAGACAAACCAAAGGCAGTGATTTAGGACGGATCCCACTGCTGCATGCTGAGTGGCTGCAGAAACTTGGGCTTTCCACTCTCTGAGCAGGGGGCGGCTACTGCCCACCCCTGCCCTGGGGCTTGCTGCAGCATCAAATTGCTTGTGCAAGAACAGGAGCTTGGCGCCTGAGATACTCTCCGGTGGAACAGCACTGGTGTGTGTTTAGTCAGCTATTCCCAGCCAGGCAGGAATGTGGGAAGGTGGCAAAACTATCCCCGAGATGTCTTTCCATGACTGTGTGTCCTTGAGACTGTAACTAATCCCAGAGGACCAGATGTCAGCCTTACCTGCTTCATTTGCTCAGTTAATGTTCACCAAATCCCACTTCTGTGGAACACAGCCAACCCAACCCTGCCCTGGAGGAGGTCCTGATCTGGGTGTCCCAGACAGACACAGGACACAAGGCAGGGGGCTATGTGAGATGTGTTTGGGAATTCAGTGGATCCTACGTGTACACTGGAACTGTGGTAGAAGTCAGGAAGGCCTCTGGGAAGCAGTGACATCTGAGCAACAGAGTAGTGATGGCTCCCCAGTAGAGAGAGAGAGAGAGTGTATGTGAGGATGAGACCTGGCTGATGAGCTCACTATCATCAGCTTCCTCAGGGTCTCCTCAGTGCAGACTGGCAGGAGAACTCTTCTGCAGCTGTGGTCACAGATCACCCTGAACTGGACATCTCAGAACAAATGGAATTTGCTCGCATAGCTCTGGAGCCCAGAAGACTGGAAGTCTGGTATCCCCAAGGCAGGCTCCCTCTGATGCTATAGGGTATCTGATTTTTGCCTGTGACAGCTTCTGTGGGCTGTAGGCCCTCCTCAGCTTTAGGCTGCATATCTCCAGTCTCCACCTCCATGGCCATGTAGACTTCTCTTCCGTCAAAATTTCTACCACCCTGTGTCTCATGAGGAGATGTGCATGCAGTTACATTTAGGGCCTACCTGGGTAATCGTGGACAAGCATTCCTCAAAATCTTTACCCTAAGCACGCTGGATGCACACCTATGGGGTAATCATCATTAGTGCCTACAAGGTTATTATCTCAGGTTCTGGGTTCATTTGACCTATCTTAAAAGGGCCACTGTTCAGTCCGCTGCAACCTCCAGTGATCTCTACTGAGCCTACTGTTGCCCAGGCGAGGGAGGGGTCTTGGGTATACAGTGGAAAGCAAGGTCCTTGGGGAGCTGATAGGTCACTGGGGGTCAGAAATGAGGTGACCATAGTACACGTGCACTCACAAGTTGTGGTTGGGGCTGAGATATGAGTGACCAGGATCCTGGGCATGAGCTTGGCTGGACCACCTGAACAGGGGCTGAGACTGAAGGACCAGGAGCCACCTGGAAGCATGGGAGGGTGGCTGGTGCAAAGTAGGCATGTGGACAAAGGCCCTGAGGCACAAAGGGACTGGCCAGAAACCAAGCTGTCTGTGAGACGGGGTGTTGTGGGTAAAAGCTGATCAGATCAGGGGTCAGGACAGGCTCTGTGAGGACGTGAATGAAGCAAGACTGGAAGGAGGAGAGGGAGAGGAGACATTTCAGGCTGAGATGGCAAGGCAGCATGATAGGCAGGCTCTAGTATGCGTCGGGCTGGGCTGAGCGGTGGTGGGTTTTGTCCTTGATGTGATATGACCTTCCAGCACCTTTCAGTGAATGACACAGTCATGTCTCCTTCTTGGAAGTCACCGGTGTTGGAGTGAGACCAACGGCAGGGTGACCTTTGGGGTATGATGTTCTGGGGCCCAGCATGTGCTAGTGGGCTGTCAGTGGATAGAGGTGACCTCTGTCCCCTGGGACTCTGCAGGCTGAGCATGGCGGGCAGGGTGCAGCAGGGGAGTGGGGCCCCAGCTTGGAATGGTCCTGTGCATCTGCAGGAAGCAACCACAAACCCTCACCACCATGGCCACCTGTCCTTGCAGGCCCCCAGCAGGCCAGTCAAGTTTCCCAGCCTCACCAGAAGCCCAGCCACTCCCGCCAGTTCTGGAAACTTTAACCATTCACCACATTCCTCCGGAGGCTCCAGTGGAGTAGGCGGTGTGAGCAGACATGGTGGGGAGTTGCATAACCGCTCAGGTGAGTGGCTGAGTGGTGGGCAGGCCACTTAGGGTGGTGGGACAGCTGGGTTGAGTGTGCTAATTGTCCCCATACTTTGCACTCAGTCCCAGAATGGGCCACCCTCAGCAACTTCTCCTTGGTGTGGCTGAGGGAGTTCTGTGAATTAACAATTCATGTATGTTTTTGTGCATACCTTAGGTAAGGGTAAAGGCGAAGGGGGAAATAAAGTCCATAATGCTTTTCTGATAAATTTTTATAAGAAATTAAGAAAAATGAGCCAGGCATTGGTGGCTCGTGCCTGTAATCCTCGCTACTCAAGAGGTAGAGGTCAGGAAGACTTGAGGCTAGCCCTGGCAAGTAATTCTTGAGACCCTATCTTAAAAACAGCCAAAACAAGTTCAAGTGGTAGCGCACCTGCCTACCAAGCATGAGGCAAAAAAAAAAAAAAAGAAAAGAAATTGAGAAAAATATAAGGTATTTCGTGATGTTTAAAATCCTTGAAGGTTACACCTTAGCTTCTGTTCTACTCTTCACTGAATAGAGGAGGAACCTGAAGCTCAGAGTAGGCTAGAAATTTGCTGAGAGTCATACAGCAAGTTGGTGGCCAGTAAGTCTAAACCCAGAGTTCCTGCAGTTCTGGGCTCACAGCACACCTGCAATCCTCCTGGGCACCCAGGGCTGTCCAAAGCCGGCTGGCAGGAAGGGCATACCCTGCTGTATGCCATTGTGTAAAGAATGCACACTTCTGGCAGAAAAAATTTTAAGACCAGATGAGCCAGAAGACCAGAAAAGGCATAATAATCTCACCTACCAGGGACAGCATTAACATTTTAAGGTATATGTTTGCAAAGTGTATTGATGCATTTTATGAATATTTATAAAAAGCAGAATAATAATTTTTTGAGCACTCTGCCAGGCACAGTGCCAAGCCATTTAAATGAATGATCTTCTTTGGTCCATGGAAGACCTGTGGATTTATCATCTCCATTTTACAGATGAGGGAACTGGGGCTCAGGACAGGCAATGACTTGCCCAAGGTCACCCTACTCTTCAGTAGCAGAGTCAGGACCTGAACCTAGGTAGTTTGACTGCAGAGCCTGTTCTTGTGACCAAATGCCATTATGAGCTGTAACCACTCTGGAACCTGCTTTCCTGTTACACACATTAGTTGACTAGGGGCTCCTTAGCTCCTTATGCAATACACTTGAATCTACAGCACTTTTTGTTTGTTGGCTTGTTTTTGTAGTACTGGGGTTTGAACTTGGCCTCATGCTTGCAAGGCAGGCACTCTACCACTTGAGCCACACCCCCCAGCCCTTTTTGCTTTAGTTATTTTTCAAATAGGGTCTCACATTTATGCCCAAGCCAGCCTAGATTACAGTTCTCTTATTTATGCCTCCTTCATGGCTGGGATGACAGACATACACCATCATCCCAGTTTTTATTGGTTGAGATGGGGTCTCTTGAACTTTTTGCCTGGGCTGATCTCAACCACAGTCCTCCCAATCTTCCCCTCCTGGGTAGCTAGGATTATAGGCATGAATCACAGCATCCAGCCTACAGCAACTTTTTAAAGAGCCAAAGAGTGTTGTGTTCAAAAGGTGCACAGTTTCTTTTTTCTGTGGCCAGTTTCTCCTCACTGAACTCTGAGACTGGACCCAGATTCTTGCTTTTGTAGCTAACACCTCCCCAAGTGATCCCTGTCTTCACTTGTTCACTGGTTTCTTAAGTGTAAGCTGCCTAAATTCATGATGGCTGGGTCAGTGCTTTGCCTAGTTTTGAGGCTGTTACTGCATTTTGTCTTCCAGAACAGCTTTCTGTTTATACATGTAGAGTTTTGCAGCAGTGCCTGGCACATAGTGAAAAGTAAATGCTCCACAGATACCAGTTGTTAGTGTCTTCCCCAGTGCACCCCCAGCCCTGCTGTTACCTTTCTCCCTTTATCTCCTAATGACTCAAGGTTACTGATGGAATTGAGGAAGCAGGAGGTGGAAATGGCAGTCGGGACTCAGACAGGGAAACAGACCACTCTGAGTACCCGGGAGTAAGGAATTACCGAGACAGGGAGAATTAAAGGTGAACTGGATCTTGCCCGCCTGCCCTCCCCACCCCTTACCATGATGCCTTGCAGTGTGATGGCCACTGCCCACGGCCACCTTTTGCTCTCATGCAGAATTTCCTTGTGAGCAGCTTGACCCCGAGCCTGCAGGAAGAGCTGTCTGTGATACACGGTCCTGCTCAGCTGGCACAGGACAGCGCACACCTGCCGTATGACCGTAAGTACTCAGACCCAAGGTAGTCATTCCTGTTTCTATCTCCTCAGGTGGCAGCATAGACAGCGTCCTGTCCCAGATTGCTGCCCAGAGGAAAAAAGCAGCTGGATTATCAGAGCAGAAGCCTAGCCAGCGGTCAAGTCCTGTGGGGCCAGTGCCGGGCTCCAGCCCAGCTGAGCTTCCGGTTTCCCCTGCAGCCAGCAGCACTCCCAGCAAGGTACTTGCTCTCTGTTAATTCCCCCTGTTCCTCTAGAAGGTCTGTCCTACCATGCTCCATGTGCCAGGGAGCCCGAGCAGTGCCACAGTTGTGTGCAAGTCTAAAGGCAGCCCGGCCCTGTCAGCTGAATCTGTCTCCTGCATGACACGTTCACACGGCACCTCTCCTGTCCAGGGGAAGGGTGCTGGAGTTCTGCAGACCCGACCCTGAATATGCTGTTCACTGATGGGAGCAAAGGCTTAGAACAGTTCAGGGGCAGGCAGCCTAGGTTATGTTTCCATGGCTGTATGAGAAATAATGTGTTTTCTGCCTAAACACTGTTGTTACACAACTCTTCCTGTTATTCAAAGTCCCTTATGCGATAGGAGCTCCATAATTAGGATCCTTTTATAATTTAGCTCCAGGAAAAGTTTATCTCTCCCTTCATGTCAATTTATTTCCCATTGTGTTCAAAATTATTTGTGTAAAGGATGTGGATAATTAAGTTCCTTTTAGAATTCAGCTATAGAAAAAAAGTCTATACTGAAATTTTTGTATATTTTCTTTTATCAGATTGTGGAAATTTATGTAATTATTGTACTTCTCTTCTTACATTTTCTGCTAGGAAACTCATTAAAGTGAGTCTTCTAGTCTGGGGCTTTTGAAGTTTTCTTCTCCATTGCCTAAAATTTTGTTTCTATACTGATGATTTTATTAGGTGTGTTAGATATCACTAGCTTCTTTTAATTGGTGTTGGAATAAGCATATAAGTTATCAATTATATTAATTGTTACCTCACTTGGATGCATCTGTCATGCGCAATTTTCATGCAGGTGTTTTCTGATGAAAGGAAGTGAACTGTATCAAAAGATGAATTCGGTGAGCTGGGGAACGATCCATCCCAGTGATCTCCTGATACTCTTAGTGATGTGTTGTAACCTTGGGGAGCTGTTTAAAAATTCAGGTTTCCATGCTCCACCCTGGCATGACTGGCTGCGACTCAAGGTCTGGGGAATCCATTCCTCTCCCCGCCCCCCACAGAGAGTCTGTTTTCAGCCAGCCCAGCCCGCGGCTCTTAGAAACCACTGCCCTGAATCAAAGGCCACAGGATTGGGCTTTCTGTCACAGGCTCCAGCACTAAATGGAGATATGAAGTGCTTTTCAAAGGCTCCCTTAGGAAGAATTAGAAATTAGTCTTCAAAATAGGAACCTCCTGGATCTCATTTTTGTACTTCGCTTAAGTGAGTGACTCACTGCAATGATGGAGCATGCCCAGGGCTGGCTTCCGGCATGTTCACTGGTCAGCGTGAACTAAGCAGCTGCTGATGCAGGAAGGATGGGGCAAAGATGCACCACCACCTCCTGGTTCTCTGCAGGTCCCACCGGCCCACCAGGAGTGGGTATCAGCTTCCTCCTCCCATGCTAGTGCTCACTGGTTTCAAACAAAATGCTTTGATTTAACTCGTGAACCTGTGGGTTGGCAGTTTAGTCTGGACTAAGCTGGGCTGTTCTGATGGCCTGGCTGGAGCAGTGAGGCGTATCCACAGCAAGCTTGGACATGTGCTCCCAGATGAAGGAAGAGGCTAAAAGTCAGTCAAACCATTGAAGCTAGACACACGCCACTTCTGGGCTCACACAAGCTGCAGAGCAGGGGCATGGACCTGGAAGGGCTGGGAAAGGGTGTCCATGGCACCCCAGGGATATGAGGACAGTTGGGGCATTTCTGAGAATCCAGAGAATTCTGATCTTTACCCACCCTTCCCCAGGGATGCTGCCCACGTGATCTGTGCCATGGGATAGACTTGTCTGATAAAGACGCATTAATTGTTTCCTTAAGCAGAAACTCTGGGAATGTCTTCATAGAAAGGAGAACAGGGAAAAATGTTGAAGACCATAGGCAGCTTGATAACAAACTCTCCAAAACATCGGGGATGGACTTTTCTTTCCATTCTGAGATACAGACATCTAGAAGAGCACTGAAGGAGATGCACCTTAGAAACAAGGGTGGGCCCACTGCCAGATAGAAAATCTGTTCGCCTTGTTCTACTGTGCTATATGGGATGTCCAAATCTTAGCAAAAAATATAAGATGAATGAAAAGCCAAGGAAAAACACTCCCCCAAAACAAAACTGGCATAAGAGTCAGGCTTAGGTATGATGAAAGTACTGGAATTATCCGACAGGGAATGTAAGATAACCATGTCTAACGTGTGGAATACTCTCATGGAAAATGTCAATACACAAGAGCAGATGAGTCACTTTTTTTTTTTTTTTGGTGGTACCAGAGGTTGAACTTAGGGCTTCAAGCTTTTGCTAGGAGGGTGCTTTACCACTTGAGCCATGCTCCCGGTACTTTGGCTTTTAGTTTGTTTTTCAAATAGGGTCTCACACTTTTGCCTTGTGCTCCTCCTACCTCTGCCTCCTGAGTAGCTGGGATGGCAAGCTTGAACCACCATGCCCAGCCACCTGAGTAACTATTTTAGCAGAGAGATGGAAACCATAAGAAAGAATCAGATGGAAATGCTAAAAGTAAAAAACATAGTAACAGAGATGAGGAAATGCCTTTGACAGGCATTTCAAACTTGACACAGCCAAGGACAGAATCAGTGAACTTGAAGATAGGTCAGTAGAAATTACCCTAAATGAAGCACAGAGAAGTTAAAAAAAAAAAAAAAAACAGAGTACACAAAAGTTGTACTCTGTGGGCAAGCACTCTGACATACAAGTAATCGTAATCCCTAAAGGAAAACAGGGAGTGAGAGCAGTGGGCAGAAGGAATATTTAAAGAACTGGCCTTTGGGGGACATTTAAGATTCAAATTGTAAGAGAAATAATGACTGAGAATTTCTCCAGATTAATGACAGATAGAAATCCATAGATCTAGGAAGTTCAGAAAGCACTGAATGGGGAAATGCCAAAAAGAACACACCTATCTATGTTATTTTTGAACTACCAAAAACAAGACAGAAAACAAGCCAGAGGATAAAGAAATTACTTTGCAAGAAACAGTGGTAAGTACAGTAGAGTTCTTGTTGGGAACCTTGCAAATCAAAGGCAGTGTCCTATATCTTTAAAATGCTAGCAGGAGAGAGAGAGCCAGAAAGTGTTACCTCCTCTTCTATTTCTCTGGAGGAGATACGGTACTACCTTTTCCTTAATTGTTTGATAAGATTTGCCAATAAGAGCATCTGGCCCTGCCATTTTCTCTTTTGAAATTTTTTAACTTACAAACTTTATTTTAACTTAAAACATAAATTTTTTTATAGGTACAGGACTATTCAGGCTGTTTCTTTGTGAGCGAGTTTCATATTTTGTATCTTTCAAGGAATTGTTCTCTTTTATCTAAGTGTTTGAATTTGTAGCATAGAGTTGTTAGTAGTCTTCATTAATTATCCTTTTTAAAAATTTTTTATTAGGTTATATTCATTATACAGGGGGGGATTCATAGTGACATTTCTGATTGGATTTACATTGTATATTGCCCCTAATTTATTATCCTTTTAATGAGTGGGGCAGTAGGATTATTTCCTTTTCATTCTTCATATTGGTAATTTGTGACTTCTTTTTGTTTGGTCAATCTGGCCGAAAGTTTATTAGTTTTCTTGATGTTTTTAAAGGACTAACTTGTTCTCATTGATTTTCTCTGTTGTTTTTTATCATTTCCTCATTTTCCATTTCCTTGATTTCTGTCGTTATCTATATTTATATGTAATTTCCTTCTCTCTGCCTGCTTTGAGTTTGCTCTTTCTCTAGTTTCTTATGGCATAAACTTAGTTTACTCTTTAGGGATCCCTCCCTCCCTCCCTCCCTCCTTCCTTCCTTCCTTCCTTCCTTCCTTCCTTCCTTCCTTCTTTCCTTCCTTCCTTCCATCCTTCTTTCCTCCCTCCCTTCCTTCCTTCTTTCCTCCCTCCCTCTCTCCCTCCCTCCCTTCCTCCCTCCCTCCCTCCTTCACTCCCTTTCTCTGTTCTTTTGGGTTTTTTTGAGACAGGGTCTCACGATGGAACCCAGGCTGGCCTCAAAGTCCATCCTCAGCCTTCTGAGTTTGGGGATTACAGGCATGTACCATCAAGCCTGGCTTCTCCTTCTTTTCTAATACAAGTGTTTTAATGCTATAAATTTACCTCTATGTGCTGCTTTTCTTGCATCCTAAAATTTTTAATATATTTTTATTTTAATGCCATTAAAATATTTTTTCCACTTCCCTGGAGACTTCTCAGTGGCCCACTATTTAGAAGTATATTTTTAGACCCAATCATTTATAATGATTTGCAGTCATTTGAGGGTTTTTCAGGTGGCTTTCCACTTCTGGTTTCCATTATAGTTCTATGTTTCTTCCTTTAAGTATGCTATGAGTGCAATCTGTGTTGGTGAGTCTCTATGCACTAAGAATGAAGTGGATTCTGCTGCCTTCACTGGCAGGGGAGGCTCTGTAAATGTCATAAGTCTGGATGTTTCAGTGTTCCATATCCTGACTGATTTTCTGTCTGTTTGTTCTATCAGTTACTAAGAGAAGTGTTGAGGTCTCTAATTGTAACTGTGGATTGGTTGGTTTACCTTTCAGTTCTATCATTTTTTACCTCACTTATTTTGAAGTTCTGTATACATTTAGGACTGCTGCATCTATCATGATGGAATATCTCTCTTACCCCTAAAATTGGCAACAATGGTGCATTTTCATGGCATAAGACAGAATGTGACAGATCAGTAGCTTTCATGCACATAAATGTAAAAATATTAGCAACTCTAATGTAATGATAAGTAAAAAGTTAATACATTCTGACCAGGTAGGATTCATTCCGGGATGCACAGTAGAAAATCAGTGACTATGATTCAGCATCTTACAAGACGAAAGAAGAAAGTGCAGAAAAAGCACTTAACAAACTCAAAACTCATTCATAATCAAAGCTGTCAGCAAACTAGGAACCTAAGGGCACTTCCTGAGCCAGAAGTAAAGGTCCTAGAGCTGGCACCCCCTGGAAGGAGGGAGGCCCAGGGCTTTCCCCTGAGGTCGGGGAGTAAGAATGCGCCTCTTGCACTGTCAACTGTGCACCAGAAACCGTAGCTAGAGCCACAAGGCAAGAAAAAGAAATGAGAGGAAGAAATGAATCACCCCTACCTTAGATGACGTGATTGTTACCCAGAAAACTGCAAAGAATCTACAGAAAAGTTTCTACTAATAGATGAGTTGAGAAAGGTCAAGGGTTGGGGTGTGGTACATGCTTAGCGTACTCAAGGCCCTGAGTTCAGTCCTCAGCACCAAATAGTAAGAATTTTTAGCAAGTCAGTATACAAAAGTCAAGTGTACCTCTGTATACTTGTGGTGAACAATTAGGATTTTTTTTAATTTGATGTTTTAAAAATACCATTTGTAATGTATTATATGAATACATTATATGAAATCACATATGAAAATACATTATATGAAAATGAAACACTTAGATAAAAATTTAATAAAAGGCACAGAATGGATAGTTTGAAAATTATGAAATGCTGGTAAATCCAAGGAGCTTGGAGAGATGGGGGCTGAATATTGTTCAGATATAAATTGTGCAGCCAGTGCTGGTAACGGTGCAGGACAGGTTTCCCGCAGCTGTCCTATGGATACCAGTTCTACTTGGCAGGTATTTGAACTAGGTTTCACAGTCTGGCTAGGCACGCTTATGGAGTCAGATGTCACGGTGTTCCCTGTTGTGTCTGTTCTCGGGGGCTTTCTACCCTCCAGGTCACGGCTTGCGTGTTTCCACTTTTCCCTTCAGCAGAAATTGGACACCAGCAAGAGGCCTCCATCTGGAACTTCCACTACCTCCAAAAGCACCTCCCCCACCCTCACACCCTCCCCATCCCCCAAAGGCCACACAGCAGAGTCGTCGGTGTCCTCCTCCTCGTCCCATCGGCAGTCCAAGAGCAGCGGGGGCTCCAGCAGCGGCACCATCACAGATGATGGTGAGTACGTCAAGGTCCTAAACCCGTCTGTACCCTCACCACCGCAACTTGGCAGCACACAGTCCTCTGGTGCCCTTGACTGTTGTAGTCATCCCGCATCAGGACTTGAAATTGAAACTGACACGTCTCTTCCAACCCTGATCCTGCCTTGTACTTTTGGCGTGGCTGTGTAAAAGGTATGGTATAGTTTGTGGATGTAGGGCGTGTTGTTTATGTGCACAGACATACACTTGTGGAAATGCTTCTCTAATACCAGGTTACTTCCCCTGAACCCTGAGCAAAACAGGATTCTTTCAGCTGTGAGTGAGGGAATCTCTGCTCAAACTGCTTTAAGATGAGAACAAATCCGTTGGCTCATAGGATGGGGGCGTCTGGGGTGTGCTTTAGGCACATGTGAGTTCAGGCGCTTTGGAGCTTTCTCTCCATGTCTGGTAGGTTCTCTCTAAGTGCCGGCGAGCAGCTTCAGACTTACTTCGTCTTCCTGCTCATTTTGCAACCTGAGCAGAAAGAGTGCTACTTTCTCAGTAGGTCCAAGGAAAATCCCAGAGGTGAAGGTCACTGGTCTGGCCTGGCCGCATTTATGTTGTGGTCTGTCTCTGCCTGTCTGTGTGTCCAGGTCGTGGAATGTGTGCATTGGCCAGACCCAGGGCTGTCAGCTGAGGCCCAGTGCCGACATGGTGGGTTAGAAGGGGAAGAGAAGTGGGTCCTCAAAGGACAATGGAAGCTCTCTTTTCAGAAGTGGGTGCTGTGTACTGGGGAGCTATGAAACCAGGGCAGCCTGGGCACTGCCCGTGTGGACTCCACCCTCCCGTGGGGTCCTAAGGGAAGGAGGATGGAGCAGTGGCTGGCAGGAGGGGAGGCTGGGCTGTGAGGACCAGGAAAGACGAAGGAAGGTGAAGAGAAGAATCCCATCTTTTAACCCTGCCCTCTGCTGCTCCTGGGTGTTGGAGGGGAGAGGAGGGACCAGCAGGTAGAGTCAGGAGCATAAAATGTGTGTGGGGGGAGATGTCCTGGTGCAGGTGGGCCCCACAGGCCCCTTACAGTGCTGAGTGGGTCCTGCCCGGCAAGTGCTGAGAGGCAGCCCACTGTGTGCACTGGCTCCCTTCTGTGCTGGGCTGATGAACACAGCTGCCCCGGTGTCCTCTTTACCTAGGGTTCATTTCATTGCTTGGTGCTGTCCAGCACAGTCACTTATAACGACTACAGACAATCATTAGCAGCTTTGTCCTTCCAGCCCACATCTTCTCTGGAATCCGAGATTCCCCCCTACCATGATTTCTCCAAAACCCCCAGAGGTTTTCTCCAAGAAAGTGGGTGTCTGTAGACACCACCTGTGCCACTCACTGTCTCTCCCATACATTATAATGATGGTTTGTGAAGTCCCAGCTAGGATGGAAGAAGAGGCCCAGCAGTGGTTTCTCACTTAACAAATCTGGTTTAGAAAGCCCGCCTTTCCTTGCTGGAAATCCTGGGTCCTGAGGCACTGAGACCTTTGTTCTGTGGGCAGAAGACTGTCCCGACTGGGGACCCACGCAGGACTTCACCATTTTTCCTCCTGTGCCTGTGATGTTGCTGCCTTCTGAGCCTTGAGTCTATTCAGGGGGCTTGTTGGGCAGTCAGCAGGGGCCCTCACCTGGGCCAGTGAGCTTCCTAGTGTCACATTGCAACACAAGGCTGTCTGACCTGTGTTGTCGGCAGTGTGCCCACGTGGACCCTCAAGGACCGAGAGGTGGACAGGGGTATGCCAGAGCCATTGTTCCATGTACAGGAGGGGTCGTTAAACATAGTGTCGTTAAATCACTTGAACTTGCAATTAAGTAAATTATACTAAATATAAAGGCCTGTCGAATTTAAAACCATGTTTTATTTAGTAACTTTTAGTACACTTGACTGTTGCCTGTGCTGTGGAAATTATTTGTGTGACCTGTCTGTGGTATTGGTACACCGAGTGAGGGTCACATGTCACTGCCGAGTGGAGCCCCCCCCAGCTCCACTCAGGGATGTGACATCACTCTCAGAATTGACCGGCTCTACAGAGGTGCTTACACTATAGTGGAATGTACACTATATTCCAACATATGTCTTTGTTTTTTCGTTTTCTTCCTCGTTCATGGAAACAAAACTGTTGATTAATATCTCTGTTGAAACCTCACTCTCTGACTGTGGATTTGAGTAGAGCAAACCCAGCTGGGTGCTCTCAGTGAGACTCCATTGGCTGTGTGGAATTTACCACTAGGAGTACCATGGGTTTTATTGTCACTCACTAACCGTGCACCCCACATCCTTAACTGTTGTAAAAGCTGCCGTAACCAAGTCGGGCATAGTGGCACACTCTTGTAATCCCAGCTATTTGGGAGGTGGAGGCAGGATCGTGAGTTTGAGGTCAACCTAGGCAAAAGTTAGCACAAGATCCCATCTCAAAAACAAATCCAAACGGAAGGGTGGGGATGTGGCTCATGGGATGGGTTGCCGCCTAGCGAGTGTGAGGACCTGGATTATCTCCGGTGTTGCAGAGTGGGTGAGTAAGGCAAAGTTTAGCATGTAAGGATCCGAGGGACCCACACACATTTGTGCAGAGAGCCAGGTGTTACCCGCTACCAGCACAGCACTACGGAGGTGACAGAAGGGGCGCAGGCTTGGTGGCAGGCAGGGGCAGGGTTCTCATTCGGTCTGGATCTGGACTTGTTCCTCTGTAGCCCCCATATGAAGCCTTTCCCAGTCGCCTGGGATGCGCCAGCTGTCTACTGTCCCCACTCCCTTCGCCCTGCAAGTGGCACCATGAGAATAGCACATAGCCGGAAGCCACACCCATGGGTCCACCAGGCGCCGCAGTGGTGGTGTGGCCTCACCAAGACCTGGGGTCCGGCCTTCCTTACTGACTCCTCTGTCAGCAAGGATAGCATAGCGCTTGTCCTCTGGGGTGTCTGCGAAGAGAAAATGGTGTGTACGGTACCCAAGGGTGAGAGCCACAACAACCTTTATCCTTCTGTCTTCCCAGCCACCCTGAGATGCCCCAGCAGGGCCTCCCATTCTGCGTGCTCAGCACTCAGTGAGGCACAGTGGTAGACATTGCTGAGTGAGTGAGAGAGAGAATAAAGGAGGAACCCAGGCTTCCTGCTCTCTCCTGGAACCCATTCACTACCTCAGGACTTTTGCACCTGCCAGTACCTCGCTCCAGCTGCTTCCTTATAATCCTCCCCCAGATATCTCCATTTACTGCTCAGATGTCACCTGATCAGGAGGGCCTTCTCTGTCCCACCCTGCTGCTGTCATCTTTCTTGCTGCTTTGGCCCATCAGCCTGCAAGTTCTGTTTGGATACCTGTAGCGTCCCCAGGGCCTACCTAGCAAATGCCTACTCAGTGTCTGAGTGCACATTTCTTCAGCCCCTCCGCCCCTGCCCACCGACACTGGTCTTGTCTCGTCTCTTCATCCCACCTGCTTTGATACCCAGCATCTTCCCCTGGTCTTTGCCTTTGCGGCTCTGCCATTCCACTCAGACACACCCTTCCTTCCAGAGGGCCACGGCTTCCACGCACATGACCCCAGCTCTGGTATGCAGTCCTACTGTCTGCTCTCCAGGTTCTTTCTCAGACAGCTGAGGTCTCGTGGCCTCGGTAGTGACATTGGCTGCATTCTCGCACACAGGAGGCAGGGTTTCATCCCGGCAGCTAGAACTCCCAGAACTTGACAGTTGCAGCCCAGGAGAGCCAGCCCTGACTACACTGTCTTTGCATCTGGGCTTGGGGTTTCTGGAGATGCCAGGGCCTGCCCTGGTGAAGAGAGCATGGCCAGAGGGGCACAGGACCCACCCCCACCTTGTCTGCAGGAGCCAGTGCAGCTGAGATCTGCCTTCTGTACTGGGCTTCTTGTAGAATTTCATTTGAAATAAGATGACCACTGTTTTATAGAAGTTGGAAGACCACTCTTAACACATTTTTCTAAATTCTAAATCGTGCTTTTCTCCACCTTTCCCTTTTGAAGATGAGCTGACTGGAATCCTTAAGAAACTATCGCTTGAAAAATACCAGCCCATTTTTGAGGAACAAGAGGTAAGGATGTTCTGTGTGGGATGTGGCTCAAGTCTCACTGTAAAAAGCTGTGTCCAGATCTGCAGTCCTTCTCCTGCAGGCCTGGGCCACTCCTGAGGCAGCCTGGGAAGCAGGCCTCACATTCCCGTATCAGTCCCCTTAAGGTGAGGTCCCAGACACCAATGGCTCGCTTCATTATTGTCAAATTTTGTCACGTTGAGCATGCTATCCCTAGGAAAGTTTGTGTCTGTTTAAAAACATTGTTGATTAGGGTTGACCAACAGGCTGAAATGTGGGCCATGGCAAATGCTGCAGTATCTGTAAAATATCTGGATAATAAGGTCTGTGTCATCCGAGACCCGTTTGCTTACAAGCATTCAGTAAAAAGCATCACCGTTCTGCAACTTGGCAGCTCCTCAAAGTTTTATTCACATAGCTACCATGTGACCTAACAAACTGGGTGTTTGTTAGGTCTCTCCCCGAGAGAATGAGGACATAGGTGCACACAGAAACTTGCATGCAGACATTCACAGTAGTTCTGTTCATAATAGCTAGAAAGATATGTCACCTGAGAGAAGTAAATAAAATGTGCCTTTCTGTCAGGGAATATAATGCAGCCATAAGACGATGAAATGCAAGGAGGAATCTTGAAACAAAAGAAACAGTCACAATGGCCACTGTGGGATGATCCCATTTCTAGGAAGGATCCAGTCGGTCAGAGATACTCCACAAAGTAGAGTAGTGGGGCTGGGGGCTGGGGAGGGTGAAATGGGGAGAGCCTGCCTGCCAGTGGGCACAGGGCTTTGGGATGATAGAAATGTCCTAAAGGTGGCTGTGGTGACGGTGATGCAGTTGGGACCATACTAAAGGTTGTATACCTTGAGGTATGCCTTTCGGGGGGTTATGGGCGGGGGGTGGGGGTAGGGGGAGAATGACATGGTAGGTGAATTAAATTCAGTAAACTTTAAAAAACTGAGTGTCAGGGTTGGGGCCATGGCTCAAATAGTAGAGCACCTGCCTAGCAAGTGTGAGGCCCTGAGTTCAAACCCCCATATCACCATGGGAAAAATAATACATGTGAGTGTGTTAACCCAGTTAAACTGCAGGCCACCAGTGCTGGGTGTAATCACTGGTGTAGAGTGCTCTGGTGGCCTCCCTTGCCCACGAAAGCCGTTATCAGTACAGTCGCCATTCTGAGAGTCACTTGTCCCCAGTGAGCTTGAGATACGTTTGGGGGCATTTGTGTTTTGGTTCAGATAGTGGATGGGATGGTGGCTGCTCCCCTGTTTGCCTCTGCTGTGTCCTGTCTGTTCTTGCATTCTTGGCATCTAAACCATCAGTGGCAATTCTTCCTGGTTCTAAGAACTCTTTCCTGGCTGCTGTGGCTGTTCCTGTGTGAAACGCCACGTGCTTTTGGAGTGTGTGGAGAGGAAAACGCATCTCAGAGGTGCTTCTGCCTCTTAAGGTGTCTCTGCTGCGTGAGGCAGGGTTCATTCTCATGTCTTGCTTTTGTCCCCTTTTCTAAACTGGCATGCTAGTCCCTGTCACCCATGGTGAGTTGCCCAGTGTAGGCAGCTGGGGTGCATTCTCGCTGAGAGCCTTGTGTCGGGGAGGTGACCCTGCAGATCTGCTGTCATTTAATTTGCCCACCCAGGGCCCCCCGAGCCTCTGGAGTCGGAGGCGCTGGACCTGCGGCAATGCCAGGGCAAGGCCGGAGGCTTCTGTGTGTGTTGCGTAGGGCATGAGCTGAGGCAGTGCCTGCTCTCCACCCAGTGGCGCCTGCCCTGTGAGAAGCCCTGCTTAACCATCTGCTCCTTTCACTCAGTTTCCCTCTGGGCAACATAAGCTGTTTGGCACTGGAGGTGGCGGGGGGGTTCCCCCTCTGTGGCCCACAACCCAGGTTGCCTGCAAAGCCTTTATAGAACTAGGGTTTAACCCACTGACTGCCCACTGCCCACTCCTCTGGCCCAGTCCCTGCAGTCACAGACGCGCTGGGTGATCCCCTGCAGGAGCTCCTGGAAGTATCTGGCCTGTGGGTACGCTTTTCCTGGCTCCCGGTGCTGGTAAAAACCCCTGTCGTTCATTGTACACCTGGTTGTCAGTGAGAATTTGTTAATACATGCCCTCCTCTTGTCTTAATGAAACCAAAGATAGACTCATTGTTCCCATCTTTCTACATGTGGTAGGTTAGACTTGATTTGGCTATACATTCAAAAAAAACCAAGTAGTGGTGTCTTAACAAAATAAGTCCTTCCACAGAACATTGGGAGGGGAGGCATCCATTCAGGCTCCACCAGTCACTAGGGTGTGTGACCTTCATTCCAAATTCACATCCATATTCCACACACAGAATGGGACATACATGGATTTGCTTGGGTGTGGAGGCATGTCCTCTGTCTGTCTCCCTGTGTCTGAACCTGCTATTGTCCCATATGCAGGGTGGTGGGTGTGCCAGTTTTGATTTTCCTCCATCCTGTCTTAGTGGACAGAAGCCCATGAACCTTTCTCCCTGACCACCGCTCCAGGTCCAGGTAGGGCTGACAAAGCTGGCAGCACTTTCACTTTGGGGTGCCCTGTCCTGGCATCTCTGTCTTTCTTCTCCATGGCCCATTTTTCCCTGTGGCTCCTGCTTACTTTCTCACTCTGTCTTTCCACAGTCTGTACCTCTCTTGTCCTCTGGGGGGAAGTGAGGTGAGTACTGCCATGCACCCACATTTTCCTGTGCCATGTCCAGTGTTGCTAACTGCAGTAACATTGGAATTCACTCCCAAATGACAGGTTTTGGAGCTGCCAGGACTGACTGATCAGGCTCCTGTCCTGAACACTTATTTCTTTGTAAGGGTCTTCCCACAATGCACCTATTTGGATGGCTGAGGTCTGGGGCTGGACAGAGTTAGCAGGTAGTGATATTTTCAGCTGAACTTGAAACATAAAGCCAGGGTGGAGGGTAATAAGTCATGGTCAGTTCACTGCATGAGCAGTCACAGCTCCTAACTCTGAGTTTCTGCTGGACTAGGCAGAGTGTGTGCCTAGCAGATGGTGGCGAGCCCTTCTCTTCCCAGGTGGACATGGAGGCGTTCCTCACGCTCACTGACGGCGACCTGCAGGAACTGGGCATTAAGACAGATGGATCCCGGCAACAGATCCTAGCAGCCATTTCCGAGTTGAATGCAGGCAAGGTATTGTTCCTGATTTTGTTTCCCTTCCTGAGGGATCTAGGGCCTTCGTGGTGGTCTTCTCCCATCTTCTGGCATGTCTGACCGGCCAGCCCTGCTTGCACATTTAACTGTGATCAGCACTCACTACCTCCTTGTGTCACTCTTCCCTTTTCAGACCTCCTCATAAGGTTTTTGTCCTCAAATTTGGCTAAAAAAGTCCCTCCAGGGATTCTAACCTACGGGAATGGGTATTGCCTTTGGGAGTCCCAGGGGTGCAGAGCCCTTGGTGCATGTAGGCCCTGGTGCCTGGTGGCCAGGCTGGGATCCCAGGGCAGGGCCTACCCTCTCCCAGCCTCCCTGCCCTCCCCTGTAGGGTGGGGATGATGGGCTGTTGCAGGGATAAAATGCCTGGCAGGCATCTGGAACCCAGAACAACTGATCAGTCACCTTATTGATCAGGGTGTCCCAGTTTTTGTCTAATGTTAAATTTCTGTTCATTGACTTTAAAGCTAAACATCAGCTCCCCTGCCCTCAAAGGTACACACACCAAAAAACTCCTAGAACCCACAACTAAAAAGGCATGTCCTCACCGCAGACATTAGCTGGGGAGCTGTCCAGCCCCTTTGCTTTGCTTCTTTCCCGATGTGGGATGGGTCTCTGTGTGTCCTGTGTCCTGCAGCCGTGCATGCTGCTTGCTTGCCTGCGTTTTCTCACCCTTTGCAGACAGACAGTGCTGCTTGGTGGGCACTGGCATCGTGTCTGGGCCTTTGGTGTGATGGATATGATCACTATGGACAGCCCTGCCTTTTCCTCCCTTCTCTCTCTGTCTCCATTGTGCAGTGGCGGTTGTCCCTCAGGCTCTGCTGTGCAATATGAACTTAAGTCACTGCATGTGACCAGCTTCATGGGTCTCTCTGGGGACTACCAGATCATGCACAGTGATACGGAGCAGATGTGTGGCATGGCAGCAGATAAATGTCAATGTGGCATTGTGTCATTAACCAGCCACTTGATGCACGCCCTCCATCAGTCCTCACGGCAACCACGAGGCCAATGTCCTCACACTCGCCGTGTCCAACTGGTGAGGGAGCAGAGGCTCGGAGCTGAAGGACCATGTCCAGCTCGTGTGGGGGATGGCAGCAGGGTGGACCTGAAGCCAGGGCTTCCGGCCTCCTGCTCTCCCCATTCTGCTGCAGTGGGCCGGGCTGGGTAGGGCAGGCTGGGGTGGTAGTTTTGTTCTTGGCATTATCATTACCTGTGCACAGGCCACAGGGCAAATCTGGTGAGTGAGCACCACTCAGCCTTGGCAGTGCTGAGATTTTCCCCGGTCCTCACTGTTTGCTCTGTCTCCTGTCAGGGTCCCTAAGGCTTCTCACTGTGTGGTGGGAGCCCAGGTGGTGGCCCCAACTTCCAGACCATCACTGCTTCTGCTCTGCTGTGCTCTGCTCTCAGACGTGGAGCTGGGGGAAGGGTGGGGCAGGCGGGAGGCTGCTGCATGGCTGCCATCAGTAAGGGCATTTGATGGAATTACGGAGGGTCAGCCCAAACGGTCCCCAACCTCTGCCACTTTGATGTACTCTGGAAAAGAACCCTTGAGTGTCTGCCCGGTCCCAGGCACTGTGAGGGCTGAGGATGCAGCATGACTGCCCAGCACTGTGCTGTGAGCACGTCAAACGTACTGGTTCACTTAATCCCCACAAAGCTGCTGAGGTTGGTTCTAGTTAACAGATGAGGAAAACAAAGCACAGAGAGATGGTGGAACTGGCCCAAGGTCCTACAGCCAGTAAGACTGGAACTTAGTTTGGGTCCAAGGAAAGGCATAAGGTGCCATGAGAGCGCCTGACCTAGAACAGGGGCTGGGGAGACCTTCCTGAGGAAACAGCAGAAGGCTGGGACCTGATAGGAACCACTGGGTAAAAGGAGTAGAGGGAAAGAACAGACCAGAAGGAGGGGAACACATATGCAAAGGCCTTGGGGTGGGAAGATATGTGGTGTGTTAAAGAAACTGATGAAGCATAGAGAACAAGAAGCACAGTGTGAGGGGGGCCACAGACCCCAGGTGGAGGCCCCATAGTGGTCAGGGTGACCCAACTGAGTGAGGGACAGGGTGGTGGTGAGGGCTGTTGAGTACTAGTGGCCTCCAGGGACAGAGGAGAGGTCTGTGATAAAGCTGGCTTAGGCCAGTAAAGATAGGGGGAACAGAGAAGGTTCTGGACTTTGGGCTGTGGGAGGACAGGCTGGGAGCCAGAGCTGCTAGAGTCTGGCATGCTTGTTGGCAATGGCTAAGACCTCTTGAACCCCACCCCCATAGTTTCACCCCCAGGAAATAACACTGGTATCGTCAGAGTGGACCATGCCATGTCTTCAGCCTACCCCAAAGGAGGACATTGATCTTAAACTTGATGCAGTCTGGAGCTTCTCCATGGTTTTCTCTACAGCTCACTGCCCCCACTCTGTGTGTCACATACACCCCACATCCTGCACAGGGTTCCGTCTCAAGCAGAAAGGACAGCTCCTTAGAGCATGACTTACCAACTTCCACTGAGAGACCCTTTAGGCCTCTGAGATGTCAGGCCAAGGGTGCCACTCAGTCCCGCTTATGTTCTTCCCACCTGAGGTCTCCACCCCACAAAGCCAGGCAATCCCACACAGCAGCAGGTGCAGGGTAGGTTGGGGCCCCCTGAAACCACCTCTATGCAGTAAGGCCCTGTTGTTCAGGAGTAAATGCTGTCAGGTGAAGTCCTCTGGAACTGAGCCATGTGTCACAGTGTGTCATAGAGTTGACCTTCTGCTCACTACTCTAAGTGATCATAGACGTTCTGGGGTGGGTCTTAGAAGGGGCCAAATTCAGTTCAAAGCTCCACCTGCGGCCAGTAGGTGCCCTATCTGGTCTTGGCAGTCCTGAGCCAGACCTGGTTGATCCTGGTTAGGGGCTCCTGCCTCTGATTGCTGCCAGGCATGAGCTGCCCTTCTGACCATCACATCTTTTCCTCTGCTGTCTGGGCTCAACCACGAGCGCATACACTGCGACTGGAAAGCCCAGACCCAGACAAGGGCTGTCCTTGCCCACCTGTGCCCCCTGGTGCTGAGAGTTGTAGAATCAATGTAATGGGTGAGCAGTGTTGTAAAACATGAAACAGAAGAGAAATCAGCAACATGTAAAGTGGGTTTCAGTTATGTGTGCTTACTTGACACAGTTGTGATAGAAAATGCATTTCCAACACAATCAGGAAAACATTTCTGCATAGTAATCTAAAAATTTTAAGTGAGTATTAATCAAGAAGCTGGTTTCTAATAATATAATATTAGCAAATGTTACCAGGCATATTATTATTACCAAGGTGTGGACCTTTCGCCTACAAGCCATGTGACCCCAGGTGGACCCACCCCGTTTGCACTCTGCAGTGTGGCGGAGTCTAGTTAGTTTGTTTGTTTCAGATGAGTTATGAACTAGAGAAGGTTAACCAGGGCATGGCCAAGTCTTATCCTTATTGATCCTAAGCCATTGTTTCTTTCTGTCCCCCCTTTTTGTGATTATCATTTTACTAAATTTGCATAGCACCAAAGGCAGGGGGAAGGGAATTTTTGTAAAGAAATTATGATCCAGCCACTCAGAGCCAGTGCTGTTCGCTCTGGGGCAGATTACTCTGCAGCATTTTGTGCCAAATTTTTTTTTTTCATGTGGCTGAGATTAATTTGGACTTGTAATTTTACATCCTGCTTTTTTTGTTTAAAATGAAATCTATTCAAGCTACCCACGTCACTAAGAACTCTTTTGGAGCTCGGAGGGTTTTTATTTTTTGTTTTTTGGGGGTTTTTTTGGTTGTTTGGTTTTGAAACAGTGTTCTTCCATGTAACCTAGGCTGGCTTCAAACACTGGATCTTCCTACCTCAGCTTCCCAAGTGTTGGGATTACAGGTGTGCACCACCACACCTGGAAGAACCCTTTTAAATATGATAAATTTGCATAGATGTACTAAAATTGTTTTTTTTTTAAGTCTGTGCTTGTTGGCTATGCAGATAGCCAGACTTTGTGGAAATAGTCCTAGAGTGGACAACTCTGTGTGTGACCCCTTCAGAATAGACATCTAAAATGAGAACCTGTGTCAAAGAGCCAGACTCAGGGTATATATGTACATTTTGGTGAAGTTCCTTTCACCAAAGAGCCATGAGCTGTGGAAGTGGGGGCTCAGTTCCCCTGCAGCCTTGCCTGTGCTGTGTGCTGTCAGTTTCTTTTTAATCATTTGTAGCCTGACAGGCTAAAATATATTGGGAGCTTTAATTTACATCCCCCCCTTTTTTTTAAATTGGTGACACTGGGGTTTGAACTCAGGGCCTCAAACTTGCTAGGGAGGCGCTCTACCACTTGAGCCACTATGCCAGCCCTTTTTTGTGTTGGTTATTTTTGAGACAGCATCTTGCTTCATGCCCAGACTAGCCTGGAACCAGTATTCTTCTGATCTTTGCCTTCTGAGTAGCAAGGATTACAGTTGTGAGCCACCAACGCCATTTTAAAGAAATGACTATTTTATTTAAAGAAATAATAAACTTCTTTAAATACTAGATGGGTCGAACCTTTTCTTCTATGTTTAATGGCCATTTTTTTTTCCTTGTGGGAATTTCCAGGTGGGTCTTTTGAAACTCATGGGTTCTTAAAGGCAGTTATCATCACCATCTTCAGTCCGTGGTGATGCTGAGAACCATTGTGGTTTTAACCACCAGGTGCTTCCTCCTAAGGTTAGCAGGCAGTGAGTGCTGCAACCCCAGCTCACCCTGCCCTGTTTCTTAGCAATTAAGGCTAAAGTAGTGTTTAATATAATCCCTCACCACCCCTGTGTTTTCTTCTTAGTGCTCTGCAGTTTGCATAGGGCTATCTCATTCATCATCTCAGGCTAAACTCCACACAGCCCTGGCAGGTTAAACTATCCCATTTTACAGATCTGGAAACTCAGCAGAACAGACACGTATCTGGGATGCCACTGCCCGTCATGGTGGAGTAGGGCTTCTGGGTCTTCTAGAAGCCTTACGTCTGGGGCTTGGTCCTTCCCTGTGGCCTTGAGATTTGTGTCAATGGACTCCTGGTGGCCTTTCCAGCTTATTTAAGGTTATTTTCAAGAACTGGCAGGAAGGGAGAATCTCACTGTCCTCTTGGAGGTCTAGGGTACCTTGTCAGTACACGAGCTCCCTGTGCAGGGGCCTAGAGAGGGCCCCTCTGTGGGTCGGGGTGATAGGATATGAAAGAAAAGAAACTTTGAAGTCTGGGCTCATTCTGTGGACATTTCTTTTTCTTCTTACTCTTAGCAGAGGACAACCTACCAGAGATTATACATTTTTAATTTGCTTACATTTTGAACACATCTATTCATTAATGTAGAAAATGCATGTTTAATGCATACTGCTGTCCTCTGAGGGCAGGACCTGACTGCTTCCTGCTGTCCATACAGGGGCAGCAGTGACCATCTGAGGTGCTATTGCTGTCCCATTTTTTAGGTGAGGAAAACAAGGCCCAAAGCAGTTAGTTTCCCCCCCACCCCCCGCCACCCCAGTAAATGAGACAGGTGGGATTTGAGGATTTTTTTTTTTTTTTGGTGGTACTGGGGTTTGAACTTAGGTCCTCATGCTTTCTAGGTAGATGTTGTACCACTTGAGCCATTTTTGAATCCAGGCTGTTTGAGTCTAGTCTGTTCATAACCTCTGTGTGTTGCTGCCTCTTGCCCAGGTATTCGGTGAAGGTATTCAGGGAACTTAAAGAAGTAGCCACATCCATTCAGAATGTGGGGTCTGGGACTGTGTTGTAGAGCTCCCCGTTGAACTCTATAGAAATCAGAGCTAGAAAGACATAAAGCTGGGCACATGGAAGCCCTCACCTCCATCCAAGTTGGGTCCCTGACTCTAGCTTGTCTTGGCATTGTACCCCTGGACCCAGGGACCACCCAGTACCAACCGCTACCATCATGGGTGCTGGGGGAGCTTTCTACGTGTCGCTTTTATTAAACTCATTCAATTAGATCCTTTATATCCCCCAAGATGCTCTTGGTTTTTCAAGTATGAATTGAGCATTGACAACATTGTGTCAATTGAATTAATGGTTAAAAGATTTAACAAGACTTTCTGTGTCTGTTTTCAATTTCCTGCACAGGGTCGTGAGAGACAAATTCTACAGGAAACCATTCACAACTTCCACTCTTCCTTTGAGAGCAGCGCCAGCAACACCAGGGCCCCTGGCAACGGTCCCTGTACGTGAACTTCCTTGCTATATGGCCACTAGCATGAGCTCTCTGACCCCCAATTCCCCTTCACAGGGTGCCAGACCAGTCTGGCTCCCTGAAATGGCCATCTCTTGTCACACTACTGTGCCTTGGGCTGTTGTTCCCTCTGCTGAGGACATTAGTTAGTGATGCTTGTTGCTGTAACAGACTCCCACTAGTATAGGCTTATTCTCACCTAACAGTTCTGTCCTGTGTTCCTGGTTGGCACATAGTTTCACACAGGGACCCAGCTCCTTTCCTCTGGTGTCCTACCATCCCCAGGAGCCTCTGTTTCTGGCTGGCAGAAGGGGGAACGATGGTGGAGAAAGACTACACAGCCAGTTCTTAACTGCCCTGCCATTAGCTGACATAGAGCACTGCTGTTCACATGCTGTTGGCTACTCATTGTCACGTGGCCTCATCTGGATGCAAAGGAGGCCGGGAAATATAGTCTCTTCAGCTGCCTTCCTAGTAACACTTCCCAGATAGGGAGGTAAGCATTTTGGGGGAAGGCTAACCCTCACTGCCTTACCTTGTCTTAAAGCCTCTAACCCATCCTCTTGGCCCAAGTTACCTTCCAGGTGAAGCCTTTCTCTGCACCCTTATACACACTGAGCTGGTCTTTCTTCCCCTGGGGTCCCTTCACATTCTGTGTGTGACTTTGTATGCACCCTTTGCTGAGCCTACCGTATTCTGTGTGCAGTGGGTACTTGGGATATGTGAGTCAGATGCAGGCATTTATATAGGAGAACAGAAGAGGCTCACTGTATTGATCTTCCCCCACTCCCGGCCTTTAGTTACCCCATTTGGTCCATAGGAATTACCCAACCAATAGCCTTCACAGAATTCCAGTCTTTACTATGAGCTGTGCTAGCCATCTTTCATTTGTCCATCTGTCTCCCTCCTCTCCCCCAACCCCAGTCATCAAAGCTCACCTGTACTGGCTTTTTGAAGCATCTGTTACCACCTTGCCTAGAGCCCCGTGGTTCCCTCTGTGCCTTACCAGCTTAGTGGATGTCATTCCTTCCTCCTCCCATCTCCCTCCTATAGAAGCTGACTTTCCACGTGACCCAAGAGGGAGCACTTCACTGTAGCCATATAGACAGATATTTGTATGAAGGTTCCTCATGTCCCGACCTTTAAGGGGACATGCTCACTGAGCACCTGTTATGTGCCCAAGCTTCACCATAATATCATTTGTCCTCAGCGCTACTCTGGAGGTGTACACAGAGAAGCAAATGTGGGAAGGAAGCAGCAGGTTAAGGAGCAGAGCTGGGTTGGAGGCAGACCTGAGCCTAAAAGCCTGGGCCTTTCCCCTCCCTCCTGTAGAGTCCCAGAGCCAGACACATTAGTGACTGATGTCCTCGGGGGTTACCGTAGGTCTGAGTACCTGCCCCACTTTCTGTGCTTTGAGGCCTGTGTCTGCTTTGTACTCTTGTCTTCTTTTTCCCTTCCCTGCATATGGGTATAGCTCCCACACAGGTAAGTTTGATTGAACACCCGTGAAACACAGGCCTGTGCTGAGGCCAGTTTTCCAAAGATGCCAACCTTGTGGTCTCACATAAGACCCACACAGAGCAGGGCTGGTCATCCATGTTTTCCAGGAAAACAGACTCTGGCCACACCTCTTACCTTTCTCACTGGACTCCAGCGGTTCTGAGGCTGCTTCTCCCAGGCACTTTGTGTGCTGGATGTTGAGAGCCCCTGGGACCCTTCTTGCCCTGTGTGTCCCCAGCCTGCCTCCAGGAGGCTGCTCCCCTCCACAAGAAGTGTTTCTCTGATTTTCCATCCTTTTCTTTGACATGTGTAGAATGAAATGTGATGCTGGAAGGCGCACTGGGTGTAGTTAGACCTGGCTTGGTTTAGGCTCAGCCACTCTCACTGGGCCTGCTTCTTCATCTACTCAAGCCTCAGTTTCCCTTTTAGTTACCAGGGGATGGCTGTCCCTAAGGTGCTAGGGACCAGATGAGGGCTGGAAAGCCCTTTTCACCCTGGAGCTGGGCCAATATCAAAGATGGTTGCATGTTTTAAGTCTCTCCCCCCACCCCTTCTTCTCTCCTACCTGCCCTGATCTAGCCATGGCCGGGTGGGTGAGACCAGAAGAAGTAGCTTCCTGCAAGAGGTAGCAGCAGCTTGACTTACATGGCTCTGCTGGCATCGGAGCCCCAGAAGCAGAGGTCAGCCGTGGCTCCTTGCCCTTCCACTATGCCTGACCCTGGGTGTTTGCATCACTGGAATTACCAACAAAGTGACCAGGAAGAAAGAAGGCCATCTGTCAAAACCACTGGAACTGATCCAGCAGACAGAGGTGGCCGGGAACCCTTCTCGTTTGCTCCTGCCTTGTTGCCACCCAAAGAAGATGGTGTACAGGCCAGGCCCGAGGCTAGGCAACTGCAGACATCCTACCTGACCTGTGCTTCCAAGTAGGTGGCACCTACAGAGCCTAGAACTAAAAAAAGATTCTGCAGCCCAAATGAAGGTGACATGACAGGTGTGTGAAGCACCCTCTGGTGGCTGTCCTTGTCTCTTGCAAGCAAGTTAATGTCATGTTAACCAGGGCGTCCTATTTAACACGCAGAGCCCGATGTTCTCCCTAATAAAGTTGGAGGCAAATTCTGTAGGATTGTCGGTGGGTGAATCTCCTCCCCTTGGGAGTTTCCCATTCACTCACCAGATATTTCCTAAGGGCTTGCCAGGCTCCCCATTTGTGTTGGGGCTCTACTGTCCTAAAAGCAGACTTAGACCAGCTATAGTTTCAGCTCAGCTAAGAAGCCAGACTCAAATAGTCAGTGGCTCACCAAAGCTTGGGGGTGATAGAAGGACAGAGGCACAAGGAACCACAGTGGAGAGAGAGCACAAAACCCAGTTCACTTGTCTTCAACTTCCCCTGTCCCACCGAGGTTCCTTCCTAAGACAGACCACACTTCTTGACACCCAGAGCTCTCCAGGGCCCTGCCACTGGGGTGGAGCCAGCTCACATCAGCGTGGTCCCCTGTCCTATGTCCTGTGGGAGGCATCTCTCTAGGGCTGATAGACACCGATGTGTTCATCCTCATCAAGCAGACTGTGATGGTTGGGGTAAGGTCTTTCCTGGTTCTAGCCCTCACCATTGTCACCGTGACCCCTGGTCAGAGATCAGGGTGCCATTTTGTTTCAGCTCTGCAGAGTTGGTTTTCATTTTCCTCACATAAAAAACTTCTTTTTATTGTTGTTACTGTAATTTCCACTGAGGGAACTTGATTCTTTGAAAGATTTTTGTTTGCCAAACTACATCTACTGAATAGCAGTGAGTTTGTCTCCTCACTTTGCTTCTCAGAGCTCTTGATGCTGCTCGGCTTCCTTCCACAGGAGCTGTGTGGGGTGAGCCCAGGCTGCCAGGTGCTTCTCGGGGTCACCCTGCCCCGCCTCTACAATAACCCTATGACACAGCTTTAACATTCCCTTCCTGTCAGTTTGGTGACTGTGGCAGACCAGTAGGCACTAGCTTTACCAAGGTCAAATCCAGCTAACAAGGGGAAATTTGGTTTGAATGCAGGTGTCACCTCAGAGTCCACCTTGTCTTCAGTGATGTCTTGCTGCCTGTCAGCAAGTAACCCAGTAACTCAGCCAGCAACAAAACAAGTCAATGACACCTTGTTAGTCCACGATGCTTGTTCACAATGGGAGGGGTATGTGAAGTGCTAAAAATAGCTTGGAGTTCTCTTTGTTTCTATTAAGAATTCTTCCCCATTCCTGGTCTATAGTCTCAGTGCTTCCTGTTAGAGTGCTCAGCCCCAGGAAGCACTAGGAAAGCAGAAGGTGGCGTCCAGGAGGTAGATTGAGGCCATGGGCCCCAAGGGGCTGAGCAAGGGGACCGTGGAAGAAGGACACTCCTGGGCCAGAGCTGCTGGGAGCAAGGCTGTAGCACAGAGGCTGGGCGAATGCCAGGGCAGCAGGAGAGGATCAGCTGTAGTTGAGTGGCACAGGTAGGTGGTTCCCAGATGCCAGGACCAGGCAGAGTTGAGAGGGAAACAAGTACAGGCAGCAGGTTTACCTGACACTGAGTGTTCATTTTACAGGGTTGGTCTCTGTCCTGACAAATCCTTCCTACTTAGGGAGCTGCAGGGTGCAGTGATGGGAGTCTTAGTTTTATTGGTGTAGACATTCACAGGTCTGAGAAACACTGTTCTAGGCCACTTGTGAGGTCCCATCCAGCCTTTTGCCTTTGACAAGCTGTGAAAGGGGCAGTGGTTGCTCTGTAGGTTAAACAGAGTGGCCATTTAACCTGGCAGCTCCACTCCTGAACGTAGCCCAGCAGAACTACAAATAGGAACTTGTGCGTGAGTGTTCGTAGTATATCAAAAAGATGCCCCAGTGGGCCGTCAGCAGGCGACTGGACTCACAAATGCGGCGTCCACAGAATGGAATATTATGCAGCCATACAAGGGAATGAGGTCCTGTTACATGCGATAGCTTGGGAGAGTGGCAAGGGTTTCCTTGGGGGTGAGCTGTAGGCCTTCCCATGGTTAGGGTGGGAGATTCATGTTACACCCTGCTGTAACAGGAGAGGAAGGGCAGGGAGCCCATGGGTCTTGTTCCCCACTAGTCTTGCAGCCCTCTGCAGTCAGTCCATTCATGTGCCTCATCCTTCACTGTGAGCCATCTGTACCCATTCCAGGTGATCTTTTCCCCCCATATGCCCCCTTTGTCAGAGGGGTGCAGGTACACTGAGGGTCTCAGGCCAGCGTCCCCAAAGCCCAGCACAACAAATGCTTCACAAATGAGCGAGTGCCCCTTGGCTAGGTGGAACTTTCCCCAAGGCCATGAGTCACCTCAAGCTCAGTGACCTCTCACTGCTTCTCCAGTTCTTACTTCCTTCCCCAGTGTGCCCTGGAGCCGCTCGCTTCACTTGCTTATCTTTTTCAGCAGAATAATTGTCTCCACTTTCCTCTACAATGAAAATCACACATAGCAGAGTGTTTACCAAAGCTGAGTGTCTGGCACGGACACCTGCTGACCCATGTTGCTGTCCAGCTTTCAGAGCCTCTGTGGGCCCAGCCTGGCGACTCCTCAGTCTAGGCCCTAGTTTCACTTACCCTGCTGCAGGTGTCCAGACCCCAGACAGGCTACAGGCCAGTCCGCATCTCAACAACCGGGCCTCACCTGTGACAAGGGCTTTACAAAGAATTAGGCTTCTGTTTCCAAGGGGAGCCAGCAGTAAAAAGGACCCAGAGTTGGATGGCCTCATGAGCAAGCAAGGTCACAGGACAAGCTGACTTCACAAAGTCTCGTGATGGACAAAGGGCAGGGTTTCCATGGGAAAGGGCCAGACCGATGGCATCGCAGTGGCAGGGGACCATGTGGTACACTGCAGAAGACCTCTTCCAACCTATTCCCTCCCCGCCCCCCCATCCCAGCAAGGCCAAGTTCCTGCCTTGCTTGTCATTCACTGGAATACTGTCAGTCCTGACTCCAGGGACTGGCGTGGGCACTGACAGACACTGCAAGTACTTGGCCCAGGGGAAGTGCTCCTCCAGCATCCAGCGCTCTTATTTTTCTCTCACTGGTGAGTGGGGGTCAGGCCACATGAAAGCCTTGTTGCTAGTCCCAGTGCAACTCAGCACAGCTGCATTGACTACCCACAGCTGGTGCTCTCAGAGGAACTGAGTGACGGACCTATGACAAGGGCCAGGGATGCACCAGCCAGATTGATTGCAAGAATGAATAGAAAATATTTGTTAATTGGGTAGCAATTAACTTAATGCACATAATTCAGTTTACAAACCATAATCATAAAGAATACAGAGGAAGAGGACTGACAGGAAGAAAGCACAAGGTGCGGACTGCGTTTAGAGCCATGGTGCAGCTCTGCTTTGAGCCACTCTATCATGAGTTTCAACATGTCATTCCTGGTTGGTCATAGTGATATACACCTGTAATCTTGCTTGCTCAGGAGGCAGAGATTGGGAAAATCATGGTTCAAGGCCAGCCCAGGCAAAAATTCAGCACAACCTCATCTCAACCAATGAATGGGTGTGGTGGTGCACTCCTATCCCAGCCATGAGGGAGCCATAATTACAGTCCAGGCTAGCCCAGGGCAGAAACATGAGACCCTATTCCAAAAATAAAGCAAAGAGGGCTGGATGAGGTGTGGATGAAGATACAGAGCACCTGCCTAGCAAGTTGGGGGCCCTGAGTTCAACCCCCCAGTACCATCAAAAAAAAAACCAAACCACGTCATTCCTGAAACACATCGGGGCCTCCTGCTTGCTAGACAGATGCTCTACTATTTGAGCCACACCACAAACCTTTTTTTAGTGTTTTGCTTTATGCCTGGGATGGCCTGGACTACAGTCCTGTTTATGCTTCCCTGATAACTGGGATGACAGGCATTTTTCCCACCTAGCTTATTGGTTGAGATGGGGGGGAGGGGGTTCTCACTAACTTTTTGCCCACAATGGCCTCCAATCTAGGTCCTCCTGATCTCTGCCTCCCAACTAGCTAGGATTACAGGTTTGAGCCACAGCACCCTGCTGGCTTTTTTTTTAAAGGTAATTTTTATTTTTAAAGAATTGCACAGATCATTATCAATGAGTATATTTTGCCATGCAAGACATAAGACCATTTTTACACCCTCTGTTGAGAGCTCCAAGGTCAAGTGCAGTTTTCACCTGAACTCCATGGGGGTCCTAGGATGCTCTGACCTGATGCTGGGGTCCCAAGCAGCCCTTCTAACAGAAGGAGGAGCCACTAAAGGGTCCCTGCTGACACTCCAGGTCATTGCTGTGAGTGTGGCTCTGCAGGTGACACTTCTCAGCTGCAGACTACTACTCAAAGTATAGTCCTCAGACCCCCGGCTTTGGCATCCCCAGGACACTTAAGAAATGCAGGCCCTACAAAGTCTCTAGGGAATGTGTCCCACACTTCAGAGGGGGAGGGGTGCATTGACTTTACACACCGCAGCACGTGAGCACTGTGATGGCGTTATCTCTTACATGGGGAGATTGGCTCCACATGGAGAATGTGCCACCGGATCTCGCATAGGTAGCTACGGTAGAACTCAGGTCTCAGGTCTCCCTCCAACCCCAGCTAGCACGTGGTGGTTACACCTGCGTGCCACCTAATCCTCTCTTCCCCCCAGAGACACTGTTATTACTGCCCATTTTATAGAAAATGTAGCAGCTACTTAGAAACTGCCTTTGCTAAAAATCACTGTCTCCTTACTGGCGCCCATGTAACTAAAAGCAGGAGAGTAGCTTGGCATGTCTGCCTCTATTTTACATCTGTCTCCTTTACTCTGAGTCTCTCTCCCCTGCAATCACCTTGAGTTCCAGGAAGGGCAGGACCGATCAATAACATCTTTATGGCAAGGGACTGAAACTACCCCCAAGGAAGGGATCAGCAGAGCTTCATAGGACAGAGCACCCCCGAAATGAGGACAGTTAGCTATAATGATGAGGCTGCACCCTGGAGCAGGAGTAATCATGTCATGGGAACCAGATTGCTCCCCTCCAGTGATGACAGTGAGAACAGCTTCTCCACGACCCTCTCAGAATCAGAACTGAGAGGATAATCAACCAGGCCTCAGTTTGACCAGGACTGTATATGCATACCCATCTTCCCTGCCCCATCCTTCCTCTAGGTAAATCTGGAGCTCACATCTGTACTCTGAAGAAGGGCTGAGATGCTCACTTTGCCTATTCCTTGACGTGCCCCTGCCATGTAACAAAGCTTTCTCTGCCCTTCACCATTGCTTATCTCTTTATTTGGCTTACTTAGGTAAGTGGCCAGATCTGACCACTTGTTTGAACCCCAGGAATTGGGCCTCTGGCTCACGGGAAAATCGAGGCACAG